CTTGCTATAATCCTTTTAAGGCCCTTTCCAATATAAAAGAGAAAAGCAATAGGCCACTATAATCGTGGGGATATTTAATCTATCTTCCCCACTTTTGATAGTATAACTACCTCTACTTGCTTTTATACTATAGGAAAGTGATTGAGCTATAAATACTTATTGAAAATGATATATAGAATTGAGCCTATTTCCATTCAGATAATCTTTAGTAGTCTCACTGTAATCTAATCTATCCTTAGGGATATACTTGAGATCTTTATAATATTACATTCCATTTCCTTTATAGAGATAGACTTTCTTTAGAATAGTTTTTCCCCACTTTAATTATATCCAGAGTCCGGGAGATTGTTAGTAGCTTTGAAGTGCTATAGAATCTCCAAATATAGTAGCTCGGTCTTTTTTTTATTTAATATAACAATGTATTTGCCTACTATAATCAATGGAGAATAGTATATAGAGCTCAGATCATGCCATCCGATCACTCTATACAAATCTCAATCTGATTTTATTTTATTAAGGAATTTCCTCCAATACCCTTTTTTGGCTTATTATATACATAATAGGAATACTCTATATTCTGTAGAGTAATTGCTATTAATTGTACAGCTCTAAAGATATACATCTCGAGCAATCATACAATCGGATATCTATCAGAAGGCCGATTTTCCTATCTTCCAATTCGGTCTTCCTATTATTCTGATTGCTTATTGTAATACCTTCTGTATATTTTCAACAGCTCGATCCAGGGCTATACTTATAACTACTATTTATACCTCCCATTTGATTCCCACTATATTAACTGATACTATTTTTTAAAATAGAAATAGATCTTTTTTCCTAATATAATACATATATTAAGATCTCGATACTGAGCTTGCTTTTTATATAATGGTAAGGAGAATATTGTAATCAGATCCGCAATGCATATCAGCTTTAACTTTTGTATATATTCCTAGAATATTGGAAAAGACTAGATCGATTATATATCCTGCTTTGTATATCGCTTGCCCCAGAATATTTATAAATTTGAATCTTTATCATTAAATTATTCCATAAGCCGATTACTACCATACACTATATTCACATTTGATTTGAATAATGTATAATAAGCATTAAAGTCTCCTCTAATAATTATATTCCTAATTAATATTAGATCAAGAATTATCTCTAGGACTCCTGAGATATTCGGTTTTCTATATAAATTTAATAGTTTAATTCCGTTTATAGAAAGTTATATATAATCTTTATACTCCTTTTCTATTAATTATAGTACTTATAATTTAGTTTCAGTTTTAATATATATCATTACTTGTGGGTATCCCTGCCTTTCCTTGTATATCCCGCTTTCCCTTAGAAGGTTATTGGGGATAGATATTAGTATCCATTATATATTTGAATATATATATTGGATATCCAGGGCTTTTATATATATATTACATTAATCTTTTTCTCAAATATTTACTATAATATTGTTATATACAATATAAGGCTTTTCCGTATATTTATTTAGGTAATAGATAGTAGTTTTGATTTATTTATATAGATCTTCTATTATTATATTATATCCCCTAGTCATAGTTTGATTACTCAGAACTTCAAGATTGAGATTTTTATTAATCTTTACTACTCTATTATGGATGATATGTTAATCTTATATATTTTGCTTTTTATTTGTTAAGCTCCCCGAGATATTATTTACTTATTCTCTTTTAATATCGTTTTTCAAATTATTACCATCTTTATATTAGGAGACTGTATTCATTCTAGATTTCCTTTTTTTTCTTTACATTATTATCAGTATTTGAACTATTACTACTAGTATTGAAACAATAGTAATACTAATCTCCCCTACTCATCAAATAATCTAAATCTATTTTCAATCTGGGTATATTATCTTGCCGTTTACCTGCTGGGGTTTAATAAGATAATTGTTATAATCTGCTGGGAAGAGCCTGCAGTATCCTGTGTATTGTATTAAGTAATTATAATTCTCAATTAGCTTATAAATAGATAGTGGGTATATATACTTTCTATATATTACTTCTTTTTTATATTTCCAGTTTTTATAATATTACTAATACCCTAGGTTATATCTTCCCAAAGCTTGTCTTCTATTTGCTAGGAATATTCGAATCTCGTTGAATAGATTATAATAAGATAACTACTTTTAAAAGAATAGTATCCAAATAATTCGATTCTGCTCATCTACTTCAAATTTGAATCTCGCTATCTGTATTAAACATAGTTCTGTTTGATATCAGATTTCTTCCCTCATTTGTTTTTCCCCAATCTCTATGGGCATTCCCAAAAGATCGATAATAATTATCGGGACCTCTAATGCTATATATATATACCATAGCTTACTAATCACGAGATCTATAGCTTTAATAGTTGTTATAGTCTGTTGCTTATTCGCAAAAAGGATTATACAGGCTTCTAGGGAAGCTATGATTGTTTATCCAATTCAAGTAGATATTACTGCTGTAATAGCTCTAGCCCTTAGAGTAGTAATCTCTAGAACCACCTTTACTAACACCTATCTGATCCTTTATAAGAACAACTCCATTTTGATTTATTTATCGAATTGAAGGAAAAGTTTTTTATTTATATATTCTAATCTTAATGCTCCACTAATTACCCGTTTGGGTTTGTTTGTAGCTTCTGTTTTCATTATTGAGCTGAAAAGAATAGTGGTTATAGTTTTGAGGATTTGAAGTATCCCTGTATATGTTTGTATAGTTGGCTTTATGCTTTTTATTGCTAGCTTCGAGTTGAAGGTTTCTTTTGTATTATTTGTAATGGCTGTTAATGCTTTGTATATTAGTTTTTTTATTAGTTAACTCAGATTCTGTTCTACAAATTGCATTGTGAATTATATAAGGATTATCTTGAAGCTAGTGAGTATTAGAGTCTTGTCTGTAGTATACTTCTATTATATATCGATTTTCTTCTAAATAACTGTTTTCATAATTGTTTCAATAATGTTCTGGTTATTCTTGAGTGAGCTTGAGAGAGGATTAGTGTTTTTGTTGTTAATCCGTATTCTTTTCGGAATAATAGTTAAGGAGTGGTTATCGAAATCAATCGGGGAGCTTGCTATCTTTATAGGTAATGGCTGGCTTGCCGGTCCTCTCTAATTCTGCTGCAACAGTATTCTCGAGCCAAGCAGCTCGGAGCGCTACAGCGATCGCGCTGGTATGTATTGTATAATATGATTTCGGGATACCCGTAGATATGGTTGTTATGAGCTCGTTGATGTGTCGTTGGGTTGCCCTATAAGAATAAATAGAATACTCTATTTTCTAATTACTCTCCTTTTAAACTATCTTTTTATATTAAAAACGTAATTTTTAACTTTCTTATTTATAAATAGAATTTATTAAAATTTATATTATCACGCTAAAAGTGATATCACCGATAGCATTAAGCTAATTGGGTTTATATAGGCATATTCTCTCGTGACATATATATATATAATTCAGATTATTTTTGATACATTTTAAATTTCAGATTTTTAGGATTTTTCTGTATTGAAATCTAGAGCTTCAAAAGATCGATTTTTAAATTTATATAAGAATTATATATGAATTTAAATCTTTTATTAAATATTTAATAACTTTATAATAAAAATTACTAAAAATAAACTAAGATTTTTTACTATAAGTTTATAATATATTTATTTTGAATGATTGAGAAAAAATAGAAAATTTTCTATAATAGATATTTAGAAAAATACCCTCAAAATTACAGAGATTATTTATACTATTCTAAACTTACTATATATTATATCTCTATATTTTTTTTTAATTTAATTTTTATAAAATTTAAGCTCAAAACTTTCAAAAAGATATATAGTTTTATTTAATAATTATTATTAAAAAGTTATTAAGATTTTATAAAAGTTATTAAAGATTTCATTAAAGTTTTAAATTTATATATAATTTTTATATAAATTAAAAAATCAGTATTTTAAAGCTTTAGATTTCAATATAGAAAGATTATAAAAATCTAATTTTTTTTGAATAAATTTAAAACAATCTGAATCATATATATACATACAAATTTTTAATAAATTCTATTCATAAATAAGAAAGTTAAAAATGTCATTTTTTGAGATTTTTGGTAGTGAAGAGTAGCCCAAAACAGGAGTGGTTAGAAAATAGGGTACCCGACTTACAGATACCCTAGACTCTTTTTTTAAAGAACTTCGTCAAATCGTAAGAATTCAAAGAATTTGGGGTTAGCGTATTAGCTAATCATTTAACGTTACATACTTGTACAGGCAGAAAGTATACAACTCCGGCGCTATGAAAATCAGGTTAGTCCTCTTGTAGTCTACCATCGTGTGGCATGTGCATCTAGCATCGGAGACATATACTTTCTGGCAGCACGAGTACTTCTCATCCGAAAAGCTTAATTCATTTTCTGTTGCTTAAGGTTATTTCTCATCCGAGAAGCTTAATTCATAAAATTGGTCAGCTAAAAACCAGGATCTTTAAAGCTAATCAGGAATATCCGTGATTTGCCAATAGCAGTCAATCAAATCTTATAGGATTGCCGAACTCCTGATAATCCTATCCTTTTGCATCTGATAATTATTAATCCAGATATTGATCTTAGTCTGAAAGAAGATAGGGTTTTCTTCGGCAGTTGAATGGTCTCCGGCCTGTCAGATCTACGAGCACGTAGGGATGATATACAGATACCCTGCGGGCCGCCCCGTAGCGCTATCTTGAGAATGGATCTTGTTATGCTTCAGACCGCTAAAAATTTGCTGACATTATGGAGTATTCTAATGTCGGCATTCTCAACCCATGAACAACTTCAATCGAATTTTCAGATTTGAGTCCCTCTTATGCATCACCAAATCCCATAAATGAGGTGCCTCCTCCCAATGTTGTGTTACAATCTCATTCGCATTTCTCACGTCTCTCTTTGAGTAGCACACTTGTTCAGTATTTGTTGTTCGAAGTATCATCCTTAATCGTGATCGATTCATAATGCGTCCTTCTACCATTCTTTCCTCCGTTGCTCTCGGCCTCTTCGCCACGGTTCAAGCTTCAACCAATGCCACTCTGGACGCTCTCGTTGAGAACGCCAATGCAAACTTGCTAGAAATACTCCAATCTCGAGTTGGCAACCCTTCTGAGACCTGTACCTCCGAGAACGTACTTGTTCGCCGTGAATGGTAGGCCACCTATAGTACTCCTAATGAAATGTGCTCACAACTTCAAGGGGGGCATTGTCATCAACAGAGAAGAAAGAGTATATTGCAGCGGTTCAGTGCATGACGAAACTGCCTCCAATTACACCACTGTCTGTTGTCCCAGGTGTGCGAAGCCGCCACGACGACTTTGGAGCTGTGCATGTCAACCAGACAGCCTACATTCACTAGACTGTAGGTCTCTCCGCTTTGAAAATCCGTTTCAAAAATTAATTTTGATATAGTCCATCTTCCTGGCATGGCACAGATACTACACCTGGGCGTACGAGACTGCTCTTCGGGACGAGTGTGGCTACAACGGAACTCAACCTTACTGGGATTGGTCCTCTACAGACACCATTGCCGCGCATCCTCTCTTTGATGGTTCCGACACTTCTATTGGTGGCAAGTAAGTGCCCCAATCTCTACGCGACGTCAAGTTCCTGCTTGAAAGCTCTTGAGCACGATGAAAAGCAAAATTTTATTGACTGATAACTTTGACCTCTTCTAGCGGGGCTTACGTTGAAGGCTACACGGATTTTATAATTCTCCCAACCCCAGTCATCGTCAATGTCTCTGGGGCAGCTGGGACCGGCGGCGGCTGTATCACAGACGGACCCTTTGTAAACCTCTCCTCCCATCTCGGTCCACACGGTGCACCCATCTCAGACGGCTTCGCATACAACCCTCGCTGCCTGACACGCAACTTCCGTGACTACATTCTGCAACGAGATCTCAGCTACCAGAATGTCACAACCAACATGTTGACGGAAGATTTGTAGAGCTTCAGTAACTACATGGGAGCTAGCACGGGTCTCCAGAGCAATGGCCATACTGCTACGGGTGGTCTACAGGATGATTTGTGGGTGTCTGCTCAAGACCCGAGTTTCGTCTTTCATCATGCTCAGGTGGATCGCGTGTGGACGCTTTGGGCTGCGCAGAACCAGACTGTCAGAACGAAGGAGGTGTCTGATACTTTGACTATCAAGAATGGTAAGACTGACCCGCTACTTGTGGGTTGATTATAGGGACTAATTGCTGTTGTAGAACCCCCGTCGGCTAATGGTACCTTGGATACGACGTTAGGCCTAGGATACAATGGCGGAACTAAGACAATTGGAGAACTTTCTTCCACCATCAATGGAATATTCTGTTACATTTATGCTTAGGGAGGACGTTTTTCTTGCTGAGCAAGAGAAATTGTAGGAACAACAAACACATGCTATATGTTTAGGATAGTAATGGTAATGACTCATGAGTCCAACTAGGATCTGAAATCTATGAAGAGCCTCCGGCAGAGGGTGTTCAAACGTAGCTCTAATAACTCCAATATAATCAGGGCCACCACCCAATGAAACCTATGCTCTCGCATGCTGCTTCGTGCTATTCTCTCTAAATCTCGTGAACTTGTTGGTAAGGTCAGGATCCGTGCATAAAGCAGTATCAGACAGGGTGCGTCGTGCTGGCACACAACACCAGCCTCTTCCAAAGGGCAAAAGGGCGGATTTCTTTGATTTTTGGGATTTTTGAAATTGTTGACTAAGAAAAAATCGATCAAGAAAGTGCCAAGAATTTTCAAGTGAAAAGTGGGGTTTACATTTACCTCCCCCCAAAAGCGCTCTTAACTTAATACTTTTCAAAAAACCTTTCCTCATACTTCGGAAAAGGCATTATGGGGAGGCAGAAACCCTCCGAGTTAGGGGCGTGATTATTTACCCAAAGATAGAGGTAGATCAGAGCAACGAGAACATTTATGCAGACCTCGGGAAGCATGTAAGGGTGAGCAACTAGTGGCCGCGTTGTGGGCGGCGTTAGAGCAACCCGAGAGCTAAGCAAGCAATTTGAAGACGACAACCTAGATTGACAGGTTCTATATTATCAAGGTCGAAGACTGATTGATTCTATGTACGGTCTGCACATGAATCTTGAAGTGTTGCAAAATTTTGAGAATAAGACTTTCAGATTGATAAATAGATTGAATATAAAATATACTTTGAGATTTCGGAACGTCTTTCAAATAATTATTCATATAGTTCATTATAAATGTAAAAAAATCAGAAGGTATAATATAAGCTAAGCTTATTTAAGAAGGCAAATAAGAATTTGAAAGGAGGAGGGCAGATAAAAACCCGAAAGGGGGAAGGTTGATGGAAACCCGGAGGAGGGAAGACAGATGGTATTAGAGTAGATACTAGCAATGAATCAACTAGGTATAATGTAGCACAAAGACTTTCCATTAATTCCTCTCAACTATGAAAATTCTACAATTTATAATTGTGCGCGGGTTGTCGTCGTCCGAAGTAGGTCCTGCGGATCTACTCACGTGCCTTCGGTAGTTCTTGTACTCAGATAAATCATACTTTACGAGGAACTCTATCTCTTATATTCAAATAACTATATTCTATAAATCTAAACTATATATTATATACTCAATTCAGCTAATTCAAACAATCCTATCAAATACTTTCACTCAATCTAAATACCTTTAAACCTCTAAGCCTCTAACTCTTATTATTCTCAGTCTTATTATTCTAAAAAAAAAAAATATAAATGATTATAGATAGAGTATTAGAATATATAATAAATAATAAATAATATACATATATATTTTCCTAAAAAATTCATTTCTTAATATTTATACTCTTAATAGTATATAGTATATGTAAATGATATTATATTAAACTAATATAGATAATCCTCTTTTTTTTCTTTTTTCTTTATACTCACTATCTACTATCTATCCACCATCCCCTCTCATCCCCCATCCCCTCTCATCCCCCATCCCCTCTCATCCCCCATCCCTCCAAATCTAACCCCCCCCATCCCCACCCCAACCCTTCAAATATAAACCCAATTTTCCAGCGCTTTACACACATTCCGTACAACACACCACGGTGAGATGGCCGAGTTGGTCTAAGGCGCCAGGTTAAGGTATCCAACACTTAACAAATTCGATTGTTTACAATCTCCTGGTCTAGTAATAGGCGTGGGTTCGAATCCCACTCTCATCAAATGTTTTTTTTTTGATTTTTTTTTGGGTGGGGGGGGAGGGGGAGATACGATTGGGAACGATTGGGTAGGTAGATAGGTAGGTAGGGAAAGGAGGATGGATGAGTGAACGGATGTTTTTTACTGTTTGTGCTTCCAATTTTTTCTTTCTAACCTTTTTTTTTGGAGGGGTAAGAGCGAATCCGGTGGGGTTGAAATTATTTTTTGGGTCAAAAAAATTAAGTGGCTCGTGCGTGTGGCTCAAGTGGATGGGATGGATGGTTGGATCACTTGGGTCCCCGGTGTGGATGATTGATGAGTTTAAATCCCGCCAGAATTATTATTTCCGTACGAGTGAGTGAAGTGAGTATATTTATTGAGTTCACGGATGAATCATTAAATACGAGGTACACCACTGCTGGTACTTAATAGGTAGATAAGTTGATACAGATACAGATACGTATAACAAGAAAGATATCAATTCAGTTAGATTCAACTCAATTCAATAGAAGTAAAAATCAAATCGTATAATGGTCTTAATGACTAACCAAGCCCCTTAATATCAAAATTTCCAAGGCAAGTAGGAAATATTCAGTATACTCCTTCCTAATGCCAAAATGCTAACTACCATACAAATATCAAATTCCAAATTCCATGTTCCAATTCCCAATTCCAATTCCAAATCGCTAAACACCCTCGCTATGCTATGTTATGTATGCTACCTACCTATATCCCGACCTTCTTAAAACAATCATCGTAGGACGCCTAACCATATAGACTCTCCCATGCAAATATGTGATAATATCGCAGTGAATAAACCATACCATACCATACCTACCTAACCCATCCAAATCTCTATATACCTAGGTAGTGTTTCTATCCATCCAATTTAGCGAATCCAAACGCCCATTTTATGCATCATTTGCCTCTCCCCTTTCCCATCCCTAAATCGGTGCACTATCTCTCCTCTCTACTCCAGCTCTCTCATCCCTTGCACCTTCCTTCAACCTATCCAACACTACTCCCCTCACCAACCATCTCTCCATCTCTGGTACCAACTCTCCTATCCTAAAAGGTTTAGTAACAACACTATCCATACCCGCCTCTTTCGCTCTAGCAATCTGCTCACTCCTTGCATTAGCCGTTACAGCTATTACCGGTACTCTCCCTCTAACTTTTCCTTCCTTTTCCCATTTGCGTATCTGTCGTACACAAGTAAGACCGTCCATTATTGGCATTTCCAAATCCATTAATAAAATATTGCATGGAACACCTGACACGCCTTCTGGTAGAGTTGCTGAAAATGTGGATTTTTCGAGAAATTCAAGGGCTTCTAGACCATGGTTTGCGACGCTTACAATACAACCTGCGCTACGAAGTTGTTTACTCAGGACCTAAAGAATAATTAGCTTGAAGTTCTGAAACAAAAAGTATGAGAGAAAATATACTTTTTGATTGACAATGTTATCTTCTACAATTAGAATATGTTTTGGTGTTGAAGAAGCCGGACTTTGAGAGCGACGACTTTTTAAAGGATGGCGAGTAGGTCCTTTAACTCGAGCAAGAGAATTATTCGTAATGATGTTATTTTGCGCTTGAGCATCCATTTGAGGAACAAAAGAATCTTTATCATCAGGTGGATCACAACGACGAGTTTGTATGTAAAATGCAAAGGTACTTCCAACCCCTGATTTTGAGGCGACACCTATCTGACCACCTTGAAGCTCTGTAAGTTCTCGAGAAATAAAGAGACCGAGACCGGATCCACCATATTGAACATGTGTTCGTGGTGAGGCCTGGGAAAATCTTTTAAACAAAAGATTGCGTTCCGTTTCATCGAGACCGCGGCCACTATCTTGGACTTCAATATGAAGATATACAATCTCTCCATCTCCCCATTCACCATCTGGCGTGTTGTCTTTGTGACTATTAGTTCTTGAAAGGTAGACAAGACCTGGTGTGCTAGGAGGCTCGAGCGCTGCGCTCACTGTGATGGCAATATTCCGTTTTGGTTGAGTTTGTGTGAACTTAATCGCATTTGTGACAAGATTGATAAGGACCTGGACTAATCTACTTGGATCCAATTTGATCCAGTCAATATTGAGTTCTTCGAATGTAGGTGATACATGAAATCTAAGCGCGACATCACTCTTCTGCAATTCTCCATCAAATATCTTCAGTGCATTTTTGATGATAGGTAATGGCTGTACTTCGGTAGGAGTGACGAATAATAAATCGGAATCCAACTTGCTCAGCGTGAGAATGTCATCGATGATTCTTTTCTGATGTTGAGCACATAGTATGATCGTCGAAGCTGCGTCTGCGTATCCATGAACCGCTTCTCTTGGAAGAATAACATCATTAGTTCCTCCATCAAATTCCTTGACCGAAATTCCGATCATGTCTGCACATTGAATAATGGCTGATAATGGATTCCTCATTTCGTGTGATGTCATGTCAATAAAATTCTCCTGTTGACGCTTCAACTCAATCGCTTCAAGCATTTTCCGTTTCTGAAAATCTTCGGCCCACTTCTGCCGACTGATATCGGTCAAGCAACCCAAAACTCCAACGACAGTACCATCCGGCGCCTTTTCAGGATAAGCAGCTGCTATTATCCAGATTGCACCATCGATTTCTTCATCTCCGATTTTATCGGCCCCCTTGAAAAGTGCTCGTAGCCGGATTTCGAAGGAGACAGGTTCCCCACCCATAAGTTTTTTCCATTGCACATCCATGATTGGCCAATCTTCCTTCATAAGTATCTCGTACCAGCCCATCTTAGTATTGGTATCTCTGTCATGCTCCGTCAGGTTATAATAAAGTTCGTTAGCATAAACTAATTTGCCATCAACGCCAATATGAAACATCCCAACAGGAGCTAGATCAGCCATTCTTCTAAAACGACTTTCAATCTCCGAGGCTTCATGAGCTTGAATTTCGAGTTTCTTTGAGAGTCGATTACGATCTTGGTAAGCATGTTCGGCAGCCATTCGACCACGTTGGATTTCATCTTCAACAAGTACTGCCGCAGCCATTGAGGTAGCGAGTTGTCGACTGAGAAGTTGTATGAATAATCTATAGTCATCATCGTATTTTCGTCGAGCATTGAGTCCAATGATAAGAAAGCCGAGAACGCTTTCTGTGGTAGCTCTAATTGGTAAGAAAACAACTGTATCCCAGGCAAGAGTACCCTGAAGAGCAGTAGTCAAAGATGAAGGAATAGTGCCATCTTCTCGATGTAAGAGCGTAGGGTAATCTGATTTGACAAGGTCGCTAAAACTGGGTAGAAATTCTTCCATGGGATTTTCAGAATTTATATGTTTCGGTACATTCTTCCCTGCACCAGGAAATCTAACAGAGCCTTCCAGTACCCAGTTGGAGCTGTGGCTTAAAGCCGAAGATTCCGAAAGGGTCTCGTTAACGTCATTACCGGCTGAGTACAGCAAAGCAAACGGTAAATCTGGATGATCTGGTTCAAGCCCCCGTAGAAGCTGCTGCCAAAAGTCCTTGGGTTCTCGAGATGAAGCAATGAACTGCCCAAGTCGTAATAAAAATATCATTCTACGATCTGCAACTACTTGTCTAGTAGTGTCAAATACAGAATTGTAACTACACATCAAATTAGTGCCTGTCTCAAACTAACGTACGGACAATTAAAATCCCAACTTACAAAGCAAGATGGCTACCGTAGCTGTTGCAACTGAACGGTAAAATCGATAATGAATAGTAGGTCTCCTCCAAGTATCCATGTCTTTCGATAAAGAACCTTGCATCATCCATGGTCGAAGCTTTACCAGTTTCATACGCCTTGTTGAATAAATCGCTAAATGCGTCTTCAACTTCAGCCCATGCCTCTGAGAAGGTTTTCCCCATCATCCCTGGATGCTTCTGTCCTGTGACTAATATATATGGTTCATTGTACATCATAACTCTGGATTGACCCCAATACATTGCCGCAGGTCTTGGGTCTGACATGAGAAAATTGCACATTCTTCGTAGCTCAATCGGCCAAGAATCTATGGGGCCAAGCTCCGTAGATGCCCAATCGAAATCGAGGAAGAATCGTACATGCGGCGACAATTCTACTATTGTGTCTGGCGCCAATATATCAAACGGACCAAGTATAGTATCTCCCACTTCAAGTACCTCTTTCAAAGTAACTGGTTCTTGTGCTGGTGGAAATATCGATATGGTATCTTCCCGATGAAGCCGATATGCCTCTAATTGAGATTCGAGTGAGGATCTAGATGCGTCGTCAGATTTTGACATACGTCGTGCTTTCTGTGGCGAGAGAGTTTGCGATCGTTGAATGGTAGGTTTGTCCCCGGTAACGTCTATCCTTCCTCCTACATCTCCAGCGATAACCCTCCATCGATCTCTCATTGTCTGCGCACTCCATCTCACTCCACAATATAGTGTAACAGGCATTTTTCCATCGCTGAAATCACCTCCTGCCCATTCTAAAAATCCCCTGTGCTTTTCATCCTTGGTTGCCGCGCGCAAATCAAGAGATTCCCCAACTTTGCTTCCTAGCACTTGTAATTCTTTCAATCGCGGATTCGTATATACCGGCGTTGTGTCATCGGGATTCGCGAGGTCAAGTATAAAAACCGCTCTTTCGTCTGATTCGAGTAACTCGAGAACTCCTATACTGCTTAAATCATCTTGCGACCCGAGAGGACTTAAAATTGGGTCCACCGCTACCGAAGTAAACTGTTTTGAATCTTTTGATTCACCATCTGCTGAGGAGGTTATGCCGAGCCCTTTGAGTATTGACGGCAGATGTTCCATTGCAAAGTTTTACTATCACCTACTTGAGTTGTATGTCTCTCTTACTCGGGCAACAGTTCTGGCCAAACACCTAATCCCAAGCCCTTCCTCACTTCCAGGCCGAAAGTGATAGGTATAGCAATCGAAGGGCAGGGCAGTCAGCTCTGGTCGAAAGGAGAGTCGAGACTTTATTGTTGTGTTATGGTGGGGTAGTTTCGTTACTCTGTTTGGGCAAGTATGATTGAAGATCACAAAACAAGGAACGCAACGAAAGGTTCTGATAAAACAATGGCGACATTCCTACAGGAGTAACATAGCGAGAAACTGTTTGCAAGTCGTAGATGGCGATAAATAAGAGGTTGAGTTACGCACTCCAAGTCGTGTTCTTTCTTTAGTGGATTCGCTTTCTGGGGAAATTTTGACGCCCTTTCCTAAGAGAAGAGAGCATACGAAATACAAAATTCCTTTGTAACCTTACGCAGTGGATACGAACGTGATAGAGTTTGACTAGACACAAAATCGTATATCAAGAACAAGAAATTCTCCCAAGGTTTCGTTCTTCGGGAAACATCAGACGAAGCAGAGAAAGAATGGATACATTTCCGACAATATGCTATGCGTATCAACCAATCCGAAAAGTTATCGGGACTTAAAAATGTCAAAAAACTTGCTAACTTTGCTTGTTCGGTGGGTCGGTTGCAGTTCAGTAGAATCCAAGGGAAACGGGAACGTTATATCTTCATCCAATTATCATCGCAACCGGATCTTGTTTCCATGAATGGGCGGTACATGCGGCTAACTTTACCCTACTCCTTTCGTCCTCAAAGGAAGGTTAAATGCCAATTGCGATCTGACAATCGTTGAATAGGTCGTGCAATCATCTTTCAATAGGTCTTGCATCTCAGTACCTAGGTATCCATATCAATGAAGAAGTGTGTGCAGAACATGGAGAGATCAGGTGGAACATCAACATTTCAGTGATGATTGTGCAAAATGAAGTAAAAGGTTGCTAACAATTCGATGGCACTTGTATCTTTTTTCTTTGATTGGTACATGGTTTGGTTTTGAATTGAAGGAGATGCAAAGTTTTGAATTAGAAATCTTGATATCCATATATCACTTCCGCAGATGTGGCTGGTGTCGCCCAAGTTGTTAGATGTTTTGTCGATCTATATGTAGCACAGCCACCCGAGAACCTTTTCGAGATGTCAGTCTGTCTCAAGATATCTCTTTGGTTGTCCGTCTTTCTTTTGAAAGCATTACTGATCCGGTGAAGACTGTAAGGGCGATTCGTACGGCGTTGTTCATTGTTAATAGATAGATTAATAGATAGAGATGCTAGGTCAACTCTCCAGCCCAGGTATCCTGCCCTGTAAGTGAAAATGAACACTCAGACAAGCACCTTTTTGATAGGGAAGACTCATCAAGAGTCATGGTTAGGGGTAGATGTAGTGATGGTCAAGATGCGGATCTATGATGAAGGTATCTATTTATTGACAACATGGTGTACTTTAGATGTGTTTGAATCTATATTCCTCTTTATCTCAATTAAATTCCTCAAAAAATGCCACCATCTTCTCGTGAAACCAATCTTCTTCCTGGATAGGAATTGCATGCCCAACACCTTCTCGGATTTCCGCTCTACCTGGTTGAAGAAATGCCATCAGTTTCTCGCCATGAGGAAATGATATAAGTCGGTCAAGTGTGCCACTGTGTGGGATGTTAGTCTTTATTCGGTCATCAGAACGTCGAATGTATCAACTCATCAATTAGTTAAAATACTTACTGCATGACTGCGATTCTGTCTCTTCCCACTTTGTCCCCTAGTTCTTTCAATTGCGCAGGGCTCTTGTGGTGCCAACCAGCAGCAATAGCCTGGAGCAGAAACCCGTACGTTTTGAAAGCTTTAGGATCGAGTCGTTTGGTTAATTCAGCAGCAGCAAAACGCTCGTAATTGGTAGAGAAGTGTGCATAGGGGAAAGGATGACCTGGTGGTGATTCAACCAAGGGGGTTGATTCCGAAGGCAGATGGGCTAATTTTGATGTTAGGTCTTTGGAGCAGAGGAAGTAGAGACGTGGCAATAAAATAAAATAAAATAAAATGGCGGATACGGAGTGCATCACAAGGGTAAAGAGAGTAATAACGGACTAGTATCTGGTAATGATAGCCATGACGCAGGAAATAACGACAACGATGCATCCAAAACAGATCGATCAAGTGGCTTGGGGACAAACATCATAACTCTCGTGCGCAAATTTTCGAAGAAGCTAGTCGTATTTTCGATGTAAGGTGCTGTGGAAAGTAAATTGAGAGTAGCAATTCGGTTTGGTATCATCAATGCCTATATGTCAAATGAGTCTTGGATGATGGAATTGATAAGATATTTGGAGACTCACCAGTTCTTGTGCAATCATTCCACCCATGCTAACTCCAGTGATGTTAAGTTGTCTGTCCTTCGTCCAACCTAAATGGTCGAGTAGCTCGATACAATCCTTGGCCATTTCCGAGGTAGAATATCGTAGGATGGGGGTGTCTGATCCGCCCATACCTCGATTATCAAATACTAACGAGGAATATTTATCTCCTCTTTCATGACCAAAGTACAGGGTTTGTCTTTGCCATGTTGACTTGTTAGAACCTAAGCCCATAATCCACTGGATGAAAACTCCAGATTAGCATGTTGATGCACGAAACACGTGACCTAATTGAGACCAAGTTTCGTCTATAAGGTCAAAAGTTTGCGGAGATGCAAACAGTGCCGGCGATAAGCTAGAGGGATGAGCAGAAGCATGAATAACATTCATGTACGAGTCTCAATACTCTTGAGCTTTGAGCTACCCATTCTCCGCATTTCAGTCCGCCATGCACTTGCATGTGATATACGTTACACCAAAATCCAAGATTGTCCACTTACCACAACCTTCGTCTCTCCACTGCCATGAACCTCCCAGTCTATCTTGAACGGACCTCCTCTACCAACTCCAATCGGCAACTTTCCACTCTGCGTTGGGGTAAGTCTCCATATTGTATCTGGGTAGGATTTATGTGCGAGGATTTCAGCCACACTTGGACGTTTATCAACGGGTGGTTCACTGGAAGAAATCGAAAATCAGTTCTCATTCCTTTGACGAAATTTCACATATCTTCGGTGCATATATTTGATGCTTGGGGAATTATACGTTTCACTCATTGTATTTTGAGGTGGGTTTGAGATGACTTGAATTAGTTTTCAATTTTGTCGATGTGTAAATGGAAGGAACCTTCCGCCCAGCAGTAAATCTGGACACATCACGTGATGTTGCTGGATCATATCAAAATCACTTGATCAAAGTTAATCGCAATCACAATCATTTCAATTAAAATTTATCAGAAAGCTACAGATTTAGGCATTTTACATGATTTTGACCTCAATCAAAAATTTGGTGATAATAGGCCATGTCCTGAAACATTTTCACTACTATTTATGTTTCTTCTAGCATGTGCACAGCGTTTGAGGTATGTATATATGTATGTTCTCAATTATCCTTTGTTTTCATAAAATATACATGATTATAGTCTATCTGATCCTATGATTGATCAAGGTCTTGTTCTTTCGGAATTGGCATCTAATCTCCAGGCTGAACGATCATATGATGCCGGCCAGACACCATTCTTTCCGGGTGCTAAAATACCCTTGGGGTCAAGAGCGTTCTTGATCTTCTCGTTCAACTTCATCTGCGCATTATCATTCCAACCATAAGTTTCTGCAATCTGATCCATCAAGGCAATATGAGTTCTATATTCTCCCCATCCGTTGTCGGCACAGACTTGGATGAGCTCCCGGATAAGCTTGTGGGCGCGTCGTTTTTGATCTTCATCTTCACGGTCAAATACTAAGCATACGATATGATGCATCTCGCGCATACCGATGGTGAAAGTTCCGAAAAAATCAAAACCGGCCTCTAGAGTCATCTTTTGGGTGAGAGCATACTGCTTGCTTGCATCTTCACCACTGATCTTCGAGATAGGCGAGAAGAAAAGATGGGCACCATTGGGAAGCCAGTCTACCCAGGAAATCTCATCAATCGTTGGGATACCTCGTAGGGTTTTTGCACGAATGTGAAGAACACACTTCTCTTTGATATCTTCTGGAAGGAAGAATTTGGCACCTTCAATGGTTCCAAAAGCATCCTTAACCACTTGCCAGAGGACATCGCGTACAGGTTTGGGGCCGTATAAAGCACCATAGAAGTTCCAGCGTCCAAGGTTGAGTTTCTTGGCTATGGCATCTAATTCTTCTTCATTAAGAGGACGATCAACATCGTAGTATGATTTTTTGGTTCCCATCACTGCTGCGTCGAGCAGAATATGTCGGATTGAAGGAACGTTCTGAATGACCATCTGTAATCGAAGGGGACGGATGATGTCAACGATCTTTGGCAAGTCGGCATTCTTTGGAAAAGTGATGAGATAAGGTTGATAACCTCCCGGATTTGGCATAAGCTAAGATTATCTGGGTCAGTATAGAGTCGTAGCGCAAGGACGGAGGTGTTCATATTACTTACCCAAATGCCCATCTTCGTCACAATACCAAGGTTGCTTTGTGAAAAGATACCATCGTTGTATGGCCCAAAACCATAAGGAAACAACTAGAATATGATGAGTTTGAAACATTTTTAAGTTGCGTCCCTAGACTAAGCATACCTGCCAACACTTGTTTCCTGGTTGTTGATCTAAACTTCCGCCCTCAACTGTTGGTTGCGTTGGATCGGGTAAAGCACCCATGCCTGTCCTGATAAGCTCTCCGGTTGGAAGCACAACCTCGAGACCGCAATGCATCATGAAGTGATCTGCTTGAAGTATCAGCAAGTGTCCCATTCTCAGATGCAAGATATCACAAACCTCCGTATGGAGTATATCCTACACCACGCTCAATAGTGTTTCCAACGACAGAACCACCACCCAAATCCGGTGTGTCAATCCAGAGTTGATCGTCTAGTTTCTTCTCCTTCAAGTAGTCGTATAGACCGAAGAATGTCACACCTGGCTCTAATAGCGCATATGCCCCTTCAGAGTTGACTTCTAGCACTTTGTTCATATTTTTGCCCATATCCAAGCCAATGCTACCAGGAACTCTTGGAGCTGCTCCTCCATATCCTACATTTCTGCCAATTGAGAATGGCCAAAGCGGTATCTCGAACTCATTGCAGAGTCTAACAATTGCTTGGACTTCTTCGACATTGCGGGGTGCAATGGTGGCGGATACGACGAAGTAATCTTTGTCGAAGAGGTGGTACATATCGTGCGCTTTGGAAGGGTCAGTGTAGAGTTCCTTTGTGAGCTCTTCTTTCTTCTTGATAATGATGACATTTTCAGCACCAGTTGTTCGTTCAGCATGAGAAATGAATTCTGCGAACTTCTCTGAAGTAGTTCCTGGTGGCAAGGCAAGAGGATCGTTTGCTGCTGGTGTGGTAGCTGCGTTTGGTACACGAAGGGCGAGAGGGGTGCCAGTGGTAATAAGAGGGGCTGCCATCTCTTTTGATTTGCGAGAAAAGAATGCGGATTAAGATGTTAAGAAATATGCCTTGAATAAAAACGAGGTGGTCTATTCAAGAAGAAACAGATGATCGGGTACGCCACCCAAGAGATTTATATACTTCGAGAAACACAAAAGTGCTTTCAACCTCCCGGGCTTGTTATCTACTCTGAGCCTGTCTGCAAACCACTAGACGGAGTAAGTTCCTATCGAAGGGGCGTTGTCTTCCGCCAAATGTTACCTTTCCAGTGGGTCACACGGGGAGCAACCCTCAATTTGCGGTGATGACAATCACGCGGTAGTGGGGTTATTCTCTGAAACATATGGAAGAGACTCCAAGAACAGGCGCTGACCCCAGACCGTCAATTGAAGACATTGCTACAGGAGTTCGAAGGATGAGCCATATCGCGAATGTGACAAGGAGGGGTTTATGTAACACCAGTTGTTGAACAGTGTTTAAACTTCGCGATGACATGCACGACTAGCATGGTGATACTACACTACAAAGGTTCCACGTTACTCTCCCCTCGTTTGGAAGTAAACAAGCCTCGGTCCACAATAGCTCAACGCATTGTGGAGTGCTAATGACAGCTCGTTTATATTATATATGGGTCCTATGCCCGTTCTCATATATCTGTGGAGTTATGTGCTCTGCGGGATGAGGTACCAAGTGGGAACTTGCCAATTTAGTGCATGGCTTTCCTTTCCTCTTCCTTGTCGTAATTTTATAATGGATATGGAATTGGAAGTCTCCATTTTACTTCTCTCGAATGGTGCACATCTCTGGCATTCTGCTTCCTATGTAAGCCGAATCGACATGCATTAATCGTGCCATGAAGATGGAGAGTCAGGAACCGTTTCACTCTCGGAACGATGAAGAGATTCCGTATTCCAATTGCGGGCCGGATACCCTGGCCCTTGCAACTTTCCTTGCAACCTATCAAGGGATCCTCGGAAGCTGCAGAACTCTGCATTCTTGACCTTAGCAATAATGACTGATGGCATTTTTCCATGTCGATATCAAGGTCATTTGAAAGAAAAAGTAGTTTTTCCCCAGCTGGACGGAAAAAGTGTCAATCACTTAATTTTCAATAATTTTCACTAGATTGGACTATCAATGTTCTTAATCATGAGTTGAGTCACAATAATGAAATGATTACAGTGTACGAGTATAGCTATTCTAAACTCTCTAAGATCCTGATCAACATTTCATATTGTTATTCAATTTCGAAATAATACTGTTGCTTTTCAAGAGTTTCGGGTTTTGAGAGTTTAATGTGGCGGTTAACTTGTCCAGCTAGAGCTTTTCCACAGGAAAACACCCCAGAAGCAATGCCGGTGCGAAATAAGTTGTTGGATTGTCACAATTTACTTGAATGCACACCATATGGACCTTTCTTTCAGGGTCTCATTATTTATCCGCAAGTTTAACTAAGGCTTCTTAGTATCAACAGATGTGTGGGAAAGTTCGGAACTTTCAAAGGACAACCGACTTTTATTAAGTAATATAATTGCAGTAAGCAGTTCATTCACAATCCTTAATATCCAAAGGTTTTTGATCAGTGGTTAGTCTCCACATTTCAACTTCACATACGTATATAGCATATCAGTCCCTGATCCAATTCTGACACGGCTCCACTGAAAACCATTCCAGTAGCATCTCTTCACATGCAACTAGCCCCATCGACTACTACAGAAGTTCCTATCCCTATTGTTGGAACTTTTTTTTAGGGTACCCGCGATAGGCTCACATCTTGGGATCGACTCAGCTCTACTTCATGTAATGCTATCCGCCACCAGGGATGAGATTTCCCGTTGGATTCTTCATGGTATTTACTTGCAAGCAAAGAAGAAAACATGCAGCACGAGTTGCCTCAAAAAAGGAACCAGCCAAGAAGTGCCGCTCATCAACATTCATAAAATTTAACTTTCCATTTTCGGGCCCCTAGGTTAAAACTCTGGTCAACATACAGACACTGTGCGAATAAGTAAGTTCCGAATTTGTATTCGTCATGAAGATCCTCTCTGGATCCCAGACTTTTGCTCCCTATGCAGAGAATTACTTTTTTAATCCTTATATTACTTGATGAAATAAAGGGAAAAGTCCATATTTCAGATGCAGACCCCATTCTTCACAACATTTTGTATCTTATTAGCAAAACTTTGTTGACAAATACCGACACAGCAAGAATTATCTATACCAAGAGTAACTGAATTTATTACATCAATAGTATCGGACGGTACAGTTATAGTGAGAAAACTCCAAAGGCAGATATACATTACGTCTAGGGCGTACCAGCCCGCTGGCACAATGGGTCACTTGTCAGCTCTAGGTCCTATCATTATCTTGGTGATGTGGATTGAGACATTCGCTGCAGCCGTTTTTGTAGGGCTGCGGATGTACACTCGATACTATATCGTTCAAGCTACGGGGTATGATGATTGGCTTACTGTCGCCAGTCTTGTGAGTGCTAACTGCGAACCTATCTTTTGTCATTCAATGCTAACGAAGCAATTATCATAGGTCTTGTTCGTGGCATATACCGCTTTCTGTACGGCGGCAGCCATCCAAGGATTGGGATCTCATTTTACCGATATCACGCCTGCTCAGTGAGTCATCTCATCCTTTACAGATTAAACCGCCTATGCTCAACTTAGTTTGAATGTTTCGATCTCCATATCTTCATTCATTTCTTGATGCAGGCCTGATGCAGTTACTGTACTAAACTGTGTGGAAGAACAAGAACTGATTCTCGTGCGTTCTAGATTCGTCATGTCGAACAAGATGGAAATCGCTGGTCAAACATGCAATATCATTGCCATCGCCACCAGCAAGTCCGCCGTAGCTGTATTTCTCCTGCGTCTCGTCGTTGTTCCCTGGCATAAAGTCTTCCTGTGGGTTTGTATCGTCAGTACATTTATTGTCTGTATCTCCTGCGCCCTTCTCGACTTCTTCCAAAGTTCGCCCATTGCGGCAGTCTTTGATCCATCACTCCCTCACACTGTCAACTTCAATTTCACAGCGAATGCAATCTTCTCGGGAAGCTATACAGCGATGATGGATTTTACTCTGGCATTGTTTCCATGGTACTTTCTGGCGCCTGTTCAACTCAAAAAGAAGGAGAGGTTGACCATTTCCTTCGGTCTTACGTTGGGTGTATTGTGAGTTTTCCTGAATCAGGAGCTGTGGAAAACTTTTTGAACTTCATGCTTATGGAAGTTCTATTTAGTGCGGGAATGTGTGGTATTGTTCGGGCCATTGAGCTAGGAGGTCTGGCATCTCGAACCGATTATACTTGTAAGTTTTCATGCATCCTCCACTAGAAATCACCATGATGCCAAAGAAACAAAATTCATACCACCCCACAGATGACACAGTACCTCTCATTCTTTGGGGCTCCAGCGAACTTCTTGTCGCCATAGTATGTGCCTGTATCCCAGTTCTTCGACCACTCTACAAGCGACTCCGAGGCCAAACAAAGTCTTCCGACCAAGGAAGTGGTCCCTATCCCAACAAAAGCGGAAGCAAATCAGGGGGTGGATATGCATTAAGTTCATTGCGTCGCGATGAGTTCTCCGCGAACGAAAGGAGTCGAGGAGGTGGAAAATCAAGTTATAACACGCAAGTGAATAGTGAGAGAAATGCGTCGGGGATGGATAATGGAAGTGATGAGAGCATATTGAGAGAGGCATGGAGATTTGGGATCAAGGAGACGGTGGAGGTTGATGTTAGCTACGGGAGAGAGGGGGAGGTTGACGAGGAGATGGGGGTGCCGCAGGGCGTGAGTGTGCGTGGGGGGAGCAGAGATGTGAGGGGGGGAGAAAGGGCTCCGAGTGTACATGGCTTTTAAAGCCCGCCAATTTGAGGGATAGTTTACGATCGATATTATTTTCATGCATGGGTAATGATTATTAGAGGGCCTTGAAATATACTACGGTATTGGCGGGTATTCTTGGGATTTTCACAATGATGTTGTGGCGTCTAATGGTTACATATTTGGATGGTTTATCAGATGTATCCATGCCGGGCATGTATGTATATATGGACCAAGCGACGATACAAGAATTCCCTAAACGAGCAATCGAATAATTTGTCTGATGTCCGTCTAATCATTCATTCATTCACCTACCTATCCAATCCATTCACACATTCAAATCAGCCACATCAATGATCAAATCTCTCAAATTCTACTCTCGCAAGAAACCCAATCCGATAGGTTGAATTGAAGTAGCACGGTTCGCATACTGCTCAGTTCATACCAGCTCAGCTCAGCTCACCAAGATCTACACACAATCGAAGTATGGATATGAACGGACCAGGTAATCATGGTGATCATAAATCCCCATCCCTACCTTCTCAAGAATAGTTTCGGGAACTAAAGAACACTAAATACGGAGGGAAGGGCTTGGCAGGAAAAGGAAAGGCACTATTAATTGGATATGAGGATGAAGATGGATTTTGGGTTTCGATTATCGAATTCTTAGAGGAAGAGTTGCAGTAGATTCAGAAACTAAAATAAGTGTTTCGAATCGATGGGTCTCGTTTCAATAAATGCTATTTGTTATCTAGGTATGTATGGTATTTGGAAAATACTTTGCTGGAGATCTAAAGGAGACGGACTCCGATTTGGGCGGGTGGTAAATTGCGAGGAGGCTAGGTGGAAACAAAAAGGACAAAAGACATACAACAGTGGGGATTCGCTGGTGGTCACCCACCCAACTACTAATCCACCGATCTGAAGCTTGTGTATGGCAGAGCGGACGGGATGCCCAATTCTCTTCAGTCTATGGTCGTATGTGATAGAACATAGTTCTTCAACAAATATATACGCTGATGCACAGAGTGAGAGATGAGTGGTAAACTGAGGGAGCATTGCTAATGAGAAATTCCTGAGAGATACATACTCTCAAATTCCTGCTTCTCTCACATCGTTCAAAGAAGGAGAGGAGAGTAGATTCGGAGACGAGTGAAGTCAGATTTCAAGTTAGACTGATGCATCAAAAAGATGAACAGGCAAAGAGTTTTGCTAACTCCAACTAGAAAACTACCTTACGGAGGTTGACGGCGTAAGTCGTATAAGCCCCATTTTTAATAAAAGTTGCTGTTTTACGAAATTCCAATGCTGCTTTTACTAATTTTATTAGATATTCAGTTATCCTTTCCAAAATTTCGAATTTTGAATCCCTTTATTCAAATTTTCAACTCTTTTTCAACTTTTACAATTTTGAAGCTTTTGAAACTTTTAAAGCTTTCTATTAGTTCTAGATAGGCTTAGAATAGTATTTCTGAAAAGAAAAATATAAATTTCGATAAATTTGAGTGATTTTGTTAGGGGGTAGAATAAATTTACAATATTTTCACTATCTGGAGTTCGCTATATAAATTTTCAATCAGTGTGATGATATGATTGGTTCAAACGATAAAAATGGGGAAAAGCTTGGTCGCTTTTTGGTGTGTTTTACAATACTTACGCCGTCAACCTCTGTACTCCTCCATTCCCAGTCCACCCACTGTAATTTCGAGGTGGACCCATCACAGTTTCACCAGAGCATATTCGTACATACAATCCGCCGTCCTCGACTCCTCGCCAACAATGAAATCACGGTTCAATTTCCACTCCCTGCACACCCCCAGCTCTCGAGCCCTTTCAGCGGGTCTCAAACTATCAAACCATTGAGTCTTGTGTCCATGTCCCTAGTGGCCGTTACACCCGCGAGATCCGGCTCCCTGGAATTCATTAGCACCGAGGGTTGAGAGTGGGGATGTGGAGTCGGAACAACAGTTTGCCCCTTACCCGCATAATTCAACCCCAGTTTCCTGCGCTGCTCAGTGGTGACTTGTAAGTTTACCGTGGCCACCGCTTCGTATATAGAAGGGTTCATTTACCAACTAAACACCCCTCGCAACTCTGCTATACCTATTTCTACGATGTTTTAATAGCCTTCCTTTCTTCAGGGGCATCCAAAGTTAGATCAACCCTATCGAGTTGTTATTGAAACAAGTTTAACACGCATGGAAATTGAGCACCATAAGGGCGGTGTCTATAGATCGTTCAATTGACGAATGAATCCTCCAAATATGATCGTCAATCAAATGGCAAATACGTACTCGTGCGGCCAGAAAGTATGCAACTCCGGCGCTATGAAAACCAGGTTAGTCCTCTTGTAGTTTACCATCTTGTGGTATTTGCATCTAGCGTCGGAGTTGCATACTTTCTGACAGTACGAGTATCTTGAAAAGGATAACGTAAGGGTGGGACGCTGCAACAATGTGACGAGATTGCGTCAATAGAACGTGTAAAGATGGGATGCTAATTCTTGGCTGGGAACACCACAAGCTTATCAGTTCGTGTGAGACAAATATGAAGGAAATGGGTGGCAGGAGGGAGACGATCTTTTCCTCTATGTGAGTTTTCTTAATTTTTTGTATTATCCTTGATCCCACTATCAGATCCTGGATCGTTTCCTCACTTGCAGTATGAAAACATCACAAACGGTCTCCACTTGATCAGAAATCATATGATCCAATACTCCGTACATAACTTTGTAAACGCAGCACGCATAAACAACAACAAACAACAACGACCTCATTTAAGGAAGCCCTTGGTAGAATTCCAGATCATGTCAACACAAAGTCCTCCGTTTGGAGATCACCCTTCATGATTTCTCCATCCATAATCCCATGAACATAAGCTTCTCCAATTAACTCCCACCTATCTTCTCCAACACTCCTTACCACAAAAGGTTGGACCATTCCAAAGACAATGACTATAACATCCCCAGGCAATGATTGTCCAGGCACAAGACCTACATATCCTTGTTCTGATATGAACGGTCTTCTATTTTGCTGATAGCTCATTGCATTTTGGTACGAAGCATACGCAGCTGTCTGAACACATCTTATATGTTCCTCAGTATTTGCATCAAATTCTTCTTCGCTCAAATGATTGTCCGTAATACTTCTCGCATTATCGGAATAGAGTTCTATACTACGTCGAAGATCGTTATAGCCCATTAAAGAGGTATGAGAAGCGCGCATGCGGAACGTGAAGGAGTCGGTCTGGTCTGCGCAGGGAATGCGCCAATTGGCTCCGAACCATTTCATTTCGTCCAGCGATAGCGGTGATAGAGCATCTTTCGCATTTAGAGCCTGAGCCTGCTCACAGAAATGTGTTATTTCATCAAAGTACCGCATGATATTGGCGTGGATTGCTAGGTATTCGTCGGTAGTACGAGATATGATACCCTGTCTGTTGTCGACAGTAAACAAACTTCCAATCGCCATAACAGTATCGACTCTAACACCTCTTAGTTCAATGATCCTCGGATCTTTATCTTCCGATGCAGGGACAACCGAAAGTTCAGATTGACCCGAAGCGGAGAAGAGAGCCGCTTTCTTAGTCTCACAAGATGGTTCTAGCAGTGTGTTGGTGAAATCCGGAACCCAACTAGGAAGACCTTCCAAAGTTTTGGGTTGTTGATTCCATGCCAACAAATCCCCGTTGTTCTGTACCAACAGTTTTCGAGAGACAGATGTGAAAATTTGTACTGTCTCTTCATCCGAATCGATGTTGGTATATATGGGTTGAATGTTTAAAGATTGGGCATCGGAAGCCATTCCTAACAATCCATAAATCCTATCTCGAGGATATCTTGCCTTTCTGACTAAATCTTTGGAGGCCTGGATACAACCTCTCTCTAACAGTTTGACAAGAGGAGATCCACCGGTTTTGCGGTGATGTTCTCGCGTCCCCAGAAGTCGGTTCAGGCTTATAGGGGCAGTACTTAGACATCTTGCAATCTCTTGAAGAATTGGTGATACGATGGGATCATGAGCTGTTTTCTGGAGGCCGTATGTGTGAATGATCATTGCAGACTGCATGGCAAAGAAAATCCAAGCTGCTTCGAACCAGGGATGAAATGGTATAGTCTTCTGACCACATGTTATCATCAACTCTTTGCCAAGGCAGAATTCCTGCATGATCCAAAGTCGGTTCCAATAATCTCGACTCCCTATTTCATGCCAGCCGAGAAATGGGAAGTCAAGGCCAATATCAATAGCAAGTTGATACAGCGAGCGTTTTATATTAGCAAGCGGATCGTCTATTTTTGGACGATTAAATCCATATCCTTCTTGATCTTCTCGAATGTAAAATTCACAATCTCTCATACTATCCACTGTAACAGAAAAAATTCCTGCATCATACGCAGCCTGTCCTATAATCAGAGCCGCGTCCATAGCCTCGTCAGTTCGAGGAGTTCCTTCGCCTAGAAATACATCCACGATACTGGCACAACTGTAGATATCTCTCATCAGTTTGATTTGTTCTGCCTTCTCTTCCGGATCATTCTGGTTGATACATATTGCATCTGCCCAGAGAACCGTCGGTTTTGTCTCATGCCGAAATGCCTTCAAAGCCTGTTCCAAACTAATGGTAACTTCGACTTCTGTCTCGTCGAGTAAAATTTGTGCCCGAGGAAGATCAGGTTCCCCCCAGCAGTAAGACAAAGCATGATAGTCTGGGGCTTCTCTTAAAGATACTACGTGCAGAGTGCAAGAAACTGTGGTAGCGTCAGTAATTGCGATACGCATTGTTGTGATCATCTTCCCAATTACCTGTATCAAGTTGCTTGGGCAGCCTATCCGACCTTGTGAAATCCGTGTGACTCTTTGGGAGAATATGTAACACTCGAATTTGAAGTTCCTGGGAATTTATAGGATTGTAATGATAAGACGCCATCCTTTCAAGAAGATATCAATGTAAAAACAATTGGGACAATAGGACAAAGACCTGATTGCATCTTCGATTTGAGGTTTTCGTTGAAACTCATCTTAAGTTCAGCTGGACACCAAGGAATGCCAACCGAAATCTTGCAGACGCCTCATTCCATTCGTTGTTAACGACAACTCAGCTATGCTACTGCGATTAGCCTGGCACTCGAAAGAGTTAGAAGAATAAAGCTATATTAGTGGAGGGGATGTGGTCAATAAATTTGTGATTGATGGCGATCGAGAACCTTTTGTTAGCAAGCAATCGACAATCAGCAATGGTCGAATCAAACCTTCTCGACGATATACACAACAACTGTTGTCGCCAATTTGGTACCCGGAAACTCAACTGGATTGCACTTGATCTAAGACAAATTAGACAATAAATTTCCTGCCAGTTAGAACGTGCCCCTCATTAGCTTTCGGAAGCAGCAGGTCATCGGGGCCAGAGCAATTGCAGATACAAAAACATCGCGTATGAAGAAAAATTGTTCTAGTATTGACAAAGTATCAATCGCTCCGTGATACAATGCTAGGAGGCAAATATAACAATCGACCTGGCTATCTTGGATAGCTGCGATAGCTGCGATAGCCAGATTAGGCCATCCTTGAGAAGTTTAGCCAAGAATCACTATTTTCAACATCTAAGACTCAATCTAGTAACGTAATTTTGAGACCATAACCTTATTATCCAGCATGCATTGCAGCTGTTACAGCAATTCTCAAAAAACAATAGACGAAGCTAAGGCATTTGAGTTATGACAGTGAGCCAGGAGGATATCGCAATAGCTCAAGAAGCGTTTTTTATGATGATGCTCTTTGGTAAGCTCCCGGTGAGCACTTGAATGTAACGAATAAATTTTGGCGCGCAGAAATGAAGGGTCGTTGCGCCGCGCCGCTAATGGGAACAGGGATTATATAAGCACTCCGTCATTGACTGTCTCCTCGTAAACATCTTATTTTGTTCATCATAAACTTATAATACAAATTAATGCGATGTATCTGAAACAGAAGTAAAGATGGGACAATCTCAGTCTGGTACCAGTGATAAACATGTTACGACACAGCAGCTGAGTCATGAACTGGTAAGTTTGCGATTCATGGAAGCTCCCCTCTTGAATCTCCAACCACTTTGGAGAACTTGTAATAATTGCTATTTAAGGCTCGGAAATTCGCAAAACGTTGCTTTACCCCTCTCGAATTGTTCTCATTCCAGGATGTTTTCAAGAGTCTTGCAGATCATCAAGATGGAGTCGCATATCTCAAGGAAGATACCATCGCACGATTCCTGGAGATTCCGGATATACTAGGCGCTTCCCCAATTATATTCCAGATGGTATCCTATCTTGGTGCGTTTCCATTCGGTCAGGACGCGCCAGCAGTCTTGGGGTTTGAACAAATGATTATGGTGGTAGTAATCATGACGGAACGGTATCAGAGGGTATTGAAGAAGGGCAATAGGGATCGGACAAAACTACTATTTCGAAGTCTGGCGGTATACGATAGAAGGGAATCTTGCGCGGGAATTGAAAATGAAGAAGATAAGGCGGATACAACGTCTCCGCCAGCAGAAGGAGAGAATGCTGTCAAAAAACATGCAACAGGATTCGCTATCGATGAAGCTGTGAATGATGACGATGAAGAGGAAGATGATGATCTTGCTTTAGCTGCACTTGAGTCACTGGATGTCATTGAAGTATTTCGTCACGGAGATCCGCCCATAGCCCAAGCTACGATTCCCTCCGATAATCTTAAAAAATTGATTATGCTACTCCTATTGGTAGCGCCGTTAGGGATCCAAGAGAGTTTAGCTCATCACACCGAAAGACTCGCCAGATCACAATTAGAAAGTCTTCGAAGAACAGCGGACAACATTCTTGCAGCTTTTGTAAATGTGGAAAAATTCCCTGGTGTTAAAATACATCAATTCAACACTGTGATACCCATTTCATTGCCTTTTGTATTTAATGGATTCAATGCTCTGTTCGAACACTTCTTGTTCTCCAAGAACATTGATTTCACAAAACGGAAAGATCCTTCAGAAGCACCGCCTCCAATACCTTTGGATGCTGAAATAGATCAGCCTCTTCTTCCACAAATAGGTGAAATACTGGATCTCAATGTTTTGTCGCAACTTTCCTTCTTCCTTCCCGGGGATTCTCTCTTCCGACGTCTTCGACTACTCTATTCCGGTGGCGATGCTGGATTCTCTATGGGTTCTTTCGAGACAAGAGTATTCAATTGGCGTGCACCAACTATCCTTTTGGTCGCCGGAAACAGAATTGAAGATTCTCCCACCGGTGGACAGGAAAAGAATTTTGCAGACACATTGCCGCCTAAACGATTTCCCAATAGTGGTAAATCATCCAGAGTTGTCTTTGGAGTCTATCTCTCACAACCTTGGAGACAAACTCATAAAGAGTGTTTTGGAGACACCGACACACTACTTTTCCAGCTCGAACCCGTTCATGAGGTCTTTCGCGCTTCGGTAATTAACAATGATTATGTGGCATTCTCCAAACCTCCATCAGCCCATCCATGTTTATCCTTTGGATGCCCACACCCTAAAACGAAACAGACGGCTGGACTATCTACTCATGTGAATCTTGGCGCTGTATCGTTATATCTAGATTCTTCTTTTGAATTTGGTGTTTTTACACACAACTATTCATCTGGCGGAGGAGCATTCCACAACAGTGAGACCAGACGCACAGATTTTCAAGACCGATTTGAAATCGAAAGTTTAGAAGTCTGGGGTTGTGGAGGCGATGCCGAAGCTCAGAAACAAAAGGAGATGTGGGCCTGGGAAGAAAGAGAAGCGGAGGCAAGGAGAAAGATCAATCTAGGAACTGGTGATATTGAAGCCGATAGGGCGTTGTTAGAAATGGCGGGGCTTATTGGAGGGAATAGGAGTGGTGGTTCTATGAATTGATGGGTTAAGTTCGGAGTTTTGGAAAGCATTGAGTAGGAATGGATCGGGATATCTGAAGCATGTATGGCTTGGAAATTTGAACATTTGGAGGGATATGTTCTTGCGAGTTTGGGTAACTTCATTCAAATAATAGATCTGGATTCTAGTTACTTTGGATATGAAGAACATTGCATTTTTACTATATAAATGACCCATGACCAATGCTAAAATAAATTCGATAAATGAATGGAGTTTGTACATTTCCCTAGCCCATAAGTTATACATATCCGATAACCATACCAAACACCAAACCTCAATGCTATACTTCCCATATACATCCGTTTTAGTCCGTAATTACTACATCTCTCATTTCTTTCCCCACACCAAACCACTCATCTGTTCCATGACTCCACCCTTCGTCTTCTCCCCTTCCTCCACTGGCGCATCCGTCACCACAGCCTTTGGTGCTGGTCTTCCCTCCGCCCTTCTTCTCCTTTCATCCCTCACTCTCCTCATCTCCTTCTCCTCCTCATCTCTGGCCTCTAATTCTCTAATCCAAGCTTCATTCTTCTCTTTAGCTTTTTGCTCCGACAATACTCCCTCAAATTCCTTGCGCTTCTTACGGTCGGAATCCCAGTACATGGATCCGGCAACCATAGCTAGGAGGGTGAAGCCTTGCGCGTAGATACGTGCGCGGAACATGCGTTGAGTGCGGTTGTGGTCGCCGGCTCGGATGGAGCGGGTTGCGCCGACGAGAGCGAGGGAGGTGAGGATACAACCTAGAAGGAGAATTGATTAGTGTAAGAACATTGAGAGGAAGCGGGAGGGAGAGAGATGATGTACCCAGGGGAATGAGAGGCTCTTCTTTTAGACGGCGAGTTAGTTTCTGCCAGCGATTTTCTTCATAGAAATCACTATCAGGCCATTAGCTATGAATGAGTGGAACAAAAAGCTTTCTATAAAAATGGCACATACGTATTGCCATCGAAAGACGACGGCAATGGAGTATTGTTCGACATGTTTATTGATTAATATTTCTTCGCGATGCTAAAGTATTTTATAGATGGTGAATTTGTGAAGTTATTGATGTTCCAAAGCTTTATCAAAAGCTTTGCCCCTCCAAATGCATCGAATCACAATGCAACCTTAGGTCGTGATATCATCGGAATTTAAAGCATCCCTGCAAATAATAATTGGAGAGTATCAGCTCCGATATCGAAAGGTGGGAATCCAGCAAATAAAACAATATCAAACTTTATGACTCGATTCTCAACAACACCAAAGAAATATACTCAATTGGAAATCAATACATAATTTTCAGTTATGGAGAACGGAACAGGAACAAATGGAGAGAGAACTCCAAATCACCCACGAACTCCGAGTCTGACTTCCTTTTCTTTGACGGAATATTCAGCAAATCCATCACCGCCATCAGAAAATACAAAATCAAAAGTTAGCAGCATTATTCCGCAGGAATTTATTCTGCCAAATGGATATCCTGATGTGAGTATGCTCAATTGTATTCTAAGAGCTGCAACTGATCAATTGATTAGTATCTACGATTAATCCTCACTTCTCGAGTTTATGAAGTCGTCACTGAGACCCCGCTCACTCCAGCCGTCAACCTCAGCAATCGATTAGAATGCAATGTTCTATTGAAACGCGAAGACCTGCAACCTGTTTTCAGCTTCAAATTGAGAGGCGCATATAACAAAATGGCACATTTAGATCCTAAAGTTAGTTGGAAAGGTGTAGTTGCATGTTCGGCGGGAAATCATGCACAAGGCGTTGCGTATTCGGCGCGCAAACTCAAAATGCCTGCTACGATTGTCATGCCCGAAGGAACACCCAGCATCAAACATCTCAATGTAACGCGATTGGGAGGATCGGTAGTCTTGCATGGGCCGGATTTCGATGCTGCAAAGGAGGAGTGTGGAAGATTGGAGAAATTACACGGATTGACCAATATTCCACCGTTTGATGATCCATATGTTATTGCAGGTCAAGGTACGATTGGTATGGAACTTCTCAGACAAACAAATATTCATAAGTTGGAGGCTATTTTCTGTTGTGTGGGTGGTGGTGGGTTGATTGCGGGGATTGGTGTTTACGTCAAGCGCATTGCTCCGCATGTGAAAATCATTGGAGTGGAGACTTATGATGCGAATGCTATGGTACAATCTTTGGCAGCTGGGAAGAGAGTGACATTGAAGGAAGTAGGATTGTTCGCCGACGGAGCGGCAGTAAAGAATGTCGGAGAGGAAACATTCAGAATATGTCAAGAAGTCATTGATGATGTTATTCAAGTCACTACGGACGAGACATGCGCAGCTATCAAGGACGTTTTCGAAGACACAAGATCCATTGTCGAACCAGCTGGAGCTCTTGCATTAGCAGGACTCAAGAAATATGTTGCGGCCAACCCATCTCCCGATACTTCTCGAAATCTTGTAGCTATTGCTTCTGGAGCAAACATGAACTTCGACCGTCTTAGATTCGTTGCCGAGCGTGCAGCTCTTGGAGAACGCAAAGAAGCTCTTCTTAGTGTCAGCATTCCTGAAGTTCCTGGCGCCTTTTCTGAACTCATCAAAGCCGTCATGCCACATGCCGTCACCGAATTCTCTTACCGATATGCTACCGATGAAGTAGCAAATGTACTCATTGGTATTTCTCTCACCTCTCCTGCATCACAAAGAGACGAAGAGCTTCAATCTCTCCTAAATCGCATCTCATCCAGTGGCATGTCACCTACTGATCTCTCCGGCGACGAACTTGCCAAATCCCATATTCGCTACCTAGTGGGTGGACGTTCAGGAGTACCAAACGAACGACTCTACATGTTCAACTTCCCTGAAAGACCAGGTGCGCTTGAGAAATTCCTCACTACTTTGAGACCGAGATTCAACATAAGTCTTTTCCAATACCGTAATGCTGGAAGTGATATCGGAAAGATTCTGACGGGTATCCTGTGTCCGGATGATGAGGTCAAGGATTTGGAGAGATTTTTGAGGGAAATCGGATATCCTTGGACGGATTGTACAGATTCGCAAGTCTTTAAGACGTTTTTGAGATCGTAAATTCTGATTTATGGGAATATTGAAGGATTATAATGATGAGAGATGCATGAGCGGTGAATATTTACCATTTATGGGCGGAATTATGCATTATATTAGCTCGGCGTTTTTGGGTAGTTCGTTGTAGATAAAAGTCATTGGCCATGGCGATGACTTTATGGCGTTGCATAGATTATAATTAAAGATATCGTAGATTTCGTATGAGGTTCTTTGGTGACTGAACTTTCAAATTGGTGTAGATAGATACTTGAGGAAAGAGAATTCTTTCTTGACGCGGGACTGACCAGGAATGGAAGCCTCACCGGGAGTTTTCTGTTCAAAACTCGACTCTGTGAACTTCACTTTGAGTCTGCCATCAGTCTTTTCGAAAACATTCCTCCACGGAAGGAAAACAGAGCAGTGATGAAATGATTGTTATAATCTTATTGTGAGGTTGGAAATCAAGAAATGATTTATCCTCTTGCCGTCTGGTAGAAGATAATCACATGCCACGCCCACCTTTGAATCCGCAACTTCCTCTTTAGTCGCATACGTTTGTATCTGTCTCCATATCGTCACCCAATTCATACAGGAAAGAGCGAAAAACAACGATCTGCAATAAACTATTACAGCCCAATCCAATCCAATCGAGTTCAATGTAGTACAACATAATACCTTCATCACACAACGTCGAATGAAACATTCCTTATCTCTTTCAAAGTTAAAACGCATGCATGTATGGTGATAAAAAAACCACCCTTACTTCCACCCTCCCACTAGCAGTCTCCTGTTCTGCTAAGTAGAATAGAAAAATAGAATATAATGCATCCTCTCGCTTTCTTCTTCGTAGGATATCTCATACTCTTTATAACCGCCAATTTACATTCTCTCTACGATACATGGACCTCTTCAACCCTCTACTGCGTCCGCGAGCCATATACCATCACTACTCTCTCTCCTAAGACTCCTAATCCGAGATGTTTCCGCGTTAGAATCGATGCGATAACGGAAATTCTTGAAAGAGTACCAAGTGCAGAGGAGGGCGAAAAAATTGTTTGGTTGAATGGATATGTGTTGCCTGGGATTATTGAATCGCATGGGCATATTTTGCAGTATGGAGAAATGCTCGAGAGTGTGAGCTTATACGAGGCAGAAAGTGTGGATGATGTGAAGAGCAGGATTAAAGAATGGTTGGGAAGACACGAAGGAGAAGGTTATGGGGGCAGGGAGAAGTGGATTAGGGGGGTGGGATGGGATCAAGCTCATTTTGGAGGTGTGATGCCGACAGCGGTATGAATTCATATTTTCTTTATTCTATCTGGTAAAATATTCTGCTGATGAAATTTTTAGAAACAACTTGATGAAGATCCGGAGCTGAAAGACTTGTATATTATGCTCGATAGAGTTGATATACATTGTGTGTGGACTTCAGAAAAGGTCCTCTCTCTTCTTCCGGATCCTCTACCGGAATCACCTCCGGGTGGAGAAATCATTACGAATCCTGGACCTGGTGTCTTTTGCGACAATGCAATGGATAACTACATCTATCCTCTCGCACCCAAGCCAGACGCATCTCAAAAAGTACGCTGGCTTAAAACCGCAATGGATGAGTTGAATAAAGTAGGTATTACGGCTATGAGTGACGCTGGTATGCGAATGGAAGATATGAAGATATTGCAGGAGTTGGCTAGAAGAGATGAACTGACTATTAGAATTCGTGTTATGGCTGAGTGTGATGAGAGAAATACTTTCTGTCATCAAGAGTTGAGAACGGTGAAAGTGATAAGAGATGGATCTGGTGGAGGTGATATGCTATTATTTGGAGGGATCAAACTCTTTGCGGATGGAGCTTTAGGCTCTTGGGGTGCGGCATTGTTGGAACCATATTCGGATAAACCTGAGACTAGTGGAATGATGTTGATCAATGAGACTGAATTAACGGAGGTTGTTAAGAAGGTGGTTTACTACTTCCCTTCTCTTCTGTGCATAAGACTAACTGATTCTTCGAGTTTTACGAATGGGACTACCAAATCAATATTCATGCTATCGGCGATCGGGCCAACAGAGCTGCTATCAATGCATTCGAAGCTGTTCTAGGATCTGATTGCCATGGTTGCAACCAAGAAAAGAGGCTAAGAATTGAGCATGCTCAAATTATAGTACGTTCCATATCAAAACTCGATGCCTTTCTAACATACTTCGCAGCATCCCGACGACCAAATACGCATTGCAAATATGGGCATTCTTCCCAGCATTCAGCCAACACACGCTACATCTGACATGGCTTATGCATCATCCCGTCTCGGAGAGGAGCGACTTTCCAATTTCGCTTATCGCATGCGTTCGTTCTTTCCTTCTGTTCATAATAACACATCAACATATCCTGGGCCAGTCCTCGGTTCTGATTTTCCAGTTGAACCACCGAATCCTTTTCATGGTATCTATGCCGCAGTAACTCGTCTCAATCCTAAAACTGGGACTTCACCCTTAGGAAAAGAAGGTTGGTATCCGGAAGAAAGTCTTAGTATTGAACAGGCAATTCATGGTTTTACGCGCAACGCAGCTTGGGGTTGGAATTTGGAAAATAAGACCGGGGCCATTGAGATTGGGAAGTGGGCGGATTGGATTGTGGTTGATAGGGATGTGATGGGGATGGAAGGGCAAGAGGTAGAGGGACTGAGAAACTTGAAGGTGTTGGGGACGTGGGTTAAGGGGAAAAATGTTTGGGCAATGGAGGAGAAAAGAGTTATGGAACTTGATCAGCTTTATCAGAAGGGTGATAGAGTTTGGATTGGTCTGGCAAGGTTGGCAAGGAGTTTGACGAGAGGGATCAGGGAAATGTTGGTTTGGGGGAGAAAATTGGAACTCTAGAAAATAGTTCAGAAGGAGAGAGGTGGGATGTACGGGATTAATTGCCATGGATGAGGAGCGTGTATAGATTGAGGGAAAACTGTATCGGTAAGAAGAAAAGGCAAAAGATGATCAGGAAAGGAGAGAGCCCTCCGAAAGGTGAATAGATAGCATTAGAAGTCCGTCCTAGAAAATCAATAACCTAGATAGAATACACACCCGATGAAACACATTTTGACATTCCTCACTTGTGGATTTGGAGCTAGAGATTAATCAATTAATTCATTCTTGTGTCAAAGACCCGGTCTCATAAGACTATTTTTTTGGTATGCGTAAATCAATTTGAAAAGAATCTAAGAATGCAAATCTCCGAAATACTCCATTCCTAAAAATTATATGCCGACCATTTGACCCATCTTAGCACCAGGAAATCATCAAATCATCGCTCACCATAAAATATAGAACGCAAACCAATATTCACAGCACAGCATAGGCACTAGCATAACTCACCGAACCATCATCCACCCTCGTAACTTCATTACTCCGTTCATACCTCACGAATTTGAATTTCCCCTTTTTCTCATCCAAATTCTTATCCTCCTTCACTTTCTCAATCGCAGCCATTATCACTCCAATCGGATGTCTCCCGCAAACCGTATTCCCTGTCTCTTCCAGATTGTCCAGAAACTCTTGATGCACGCCCCCGGAAATAGCATCCATAGATAATTGATCTAGGCGACCTATGCTCTCATGAATCGGTGGTTGCGTCGGTGCTTTATCCCGGCGCGAAAGTGAGTACCCGCCGGATTTATCGCGGGCTTCGGAAGATGGACTCGCGGGGAGATAGTATGTGTATTGGAAGCGGGGACCCCAGTGGCAGAAATCGGAGGAGATGATGAAGATGTTGGAGGGGTCGGAGAGATAGGGTGCGAGCAGGGAGCCGAATTTCTGTTCGGTGGTGGGATTGGTGTTGCCGACGAGGATGGGTATTAGAGGGGGGAAGGATGAGGGGGAGGGGAAGTTGAGAGAGAGAAGTTTGTAAATGTAGGGGAGATGCATTTCTAGAGAGTGCTCGGTTTCGTCTTGATCGGTGGACATTTTTTTGAATTCGCCTGTGGCGGATAGTTCTTGCACGAGAGCGGTGTCGATGGTTAGATCTCCCAAGGGAGTGGCATACTTGGAGTGTTTGGATAGTGCACATTCAGTGAGGTACCAAGCGTGAGAGGGCCCGAGGAGGAAAATTCGTTTTGCGGCGGAGAGATCGAGGGTTGCGTAGGCCCAGGCGGCGGCGGGTCCGGAATAGGAATATCCTGCGTGGCTTTAATTTGTTAGAGAGTTTTGACGAGGGAACATGGGGGTAGCTAACGGTGCAATGATGACTCGAGCACCGGGAACGGGTAGTTTGGTATCGGAAATAGTGGAGGGGACTTGGGATAGCCAGTTGTCGAGTTCCGAGGATAGCTTGCTCGGATTCGATGTATACCACGAGCCGGCGTGGCTGGCTTCTCGAGTACTGCCCATATTGTTCTGACTGGTTGTGGTGGTAGGTTCTTGGGTATGTCTGTTGTGAGGTTCTAGAATGATGATGATGGTGTTGTTGATGTGATATGATATGATATGATACGCTTATCGTGAGGTGTGGGGGTGAATGGCGGGGTACCTAGCTAAGCTTAACCTTACTATTTGAATTCCCGAAGTTCAGGCGGTGCAACACTAAGCTTCGTCTTTTTTCTCATATGCATGTGGAGCGGCGTCTTCTTAATTTTTGATGGCGACATGAGGAAATACATTGTTCTATTCTTCCACAAACATTGCTGTTTGACTACGTGGAATTATAAAGCTTCTCGATTTTATTGGATTCAAAAGTCAATCTAATGCTTGCTTGGTACGCGTCGTCCTTTGTCAAGCCCGTTTCTTCGGGTGTACACATCCTTGAAACACTGAGGCTCTCGATGTGTTTGCGCGGCTCTTAGCGGTCAACACGCGTTTAGTGACGACGATGTGATGTTCGGGCTTGCGAGATCGAATAGGAGAATAATGATATATGTCCATTATCTTGGCGTGCATATCTTTACATTGATTCTTCCTAGGCAACAATGTCAGTCGGAATCAGATCAAAAATTGATCTGCTGTCATTGCGAATCTTCATGTCGAGATGACTCTTAATCACGGAATCGGAATAGAGCTTACTTGTTGTTCTCCCACTTCGGTGTTCAACTCCGATCATGGCTGATGACACATCATGGCATGGATACCATGGGCTAGCTTTCCATCTGCAAGGGTCCTCGATAAGCAGTCGTTTATATATGTTCCTCTCTTTTTGTTCGCCTCAATATTGTGCTTTTAAACATCAATCACGAACTGGAAATCATGTCAAGTAACACTTCCAGTCTTAATATCTCTGTCAATGACTTCGGTTCAGCCAAGTCTGTGGGATTTGACTTTACTCCACTATTCGAAGATGTAATTCTCTCAATTGTGCCGTCAGTCATCTTACTTTTCTTACTCCCGATTCGAATATGGATGCTTCGTGGTCAACCTCGAAAAGTTAGTTCGAGCTTTTTGCATAGCAATAAATTGGTATGGTATGATTTTTCAAGCGAGATAATATGGAGACTAATGTTACCACAGCTGTTCTTAGGAGTTTTCACAATCATGCAAACGGCTTATTTAGTTATGAATGCCACAACGTCAACATTGAAGACACGTGCAACAATACCTGCTGCAGCTCTTCTACTTGTAGATGCCCTCGGCTTGTTTGCTTTATCACATATTGAGCATCTCCACTCTGTCAGGCCGTCTGCTCTCATCAATGTATGGCTTTTGCTCACGTTGCCTTTCGATATGGCGAGGGCAAGGTCACTTTGGTTAGTTCATGCAAATAATCCAACTGCTGCAGTATTCACTAGTGGTCTTGGCGTTAAAATTATGGTCATCATCGCCGAAGCGGTGGAAAAGCGTCACATTCTACTTGACAGATATCGAAACGCATCACCAGAGACTACTAGTGGTATTTATAGTCGCAGCTTCTTTTGGTGGTTGAATACCCTCATGACCACGGGTTTCCAACGGGTTATAAAAAACGAAGACCTATATCCCATTGGTGAGGAAATGAGCTCACATTACTTGTACTCCCGAGCAAGGAGCACATGGGATGCAAGCAATCAAACCGGATCTTATTCTTTGCTTTGGTCAACCTTGAAAGCCACACGTGGAGCATTTGCTCTTGGGATTGTACCACGACTTTGCACAACTGGTTTCAAATATGCACAACCTTTCTTACTAGAAAGAACCGTTGGTTTCGCGAACGACGAAACCCAGCCTGATAGTATAGGATGGAGTTTGACTGGAGCATTCGGCCTTGTCTTCCTAGGTTTGGCTGTCTTTAATGGAGCCTATTACCACATGGCATATCGTTTCAACACGGCTGTACGCGGTTCATTAGTAAGCTTGATATATGCGAAAAACCGTTGATTTGAGTATTACTGCTCTTGATGAATCGGTTGCCGTCACTTTGATGGCAAATGACACAAGTAAGAGATCTTTTTCAAATGTTGTAAACATTGCTTACTTTCTTTTACAGGCACAATTTGTGAAGGATTCACAAATATACACGAACTTTGGGCTGTTCCTATAGAACTAGGCATCGCAATGTATTTGCTTTATCGACAACTTGGTTTGCCTTTCTTGGCTCCTTTCTCCATTGCCTTGTTGTGCACAGCAGGCATTCTTCTTATGGCAAATTGGATGGGCAACGCACAAAAGATTTGGATCAGAGGTATCCAAACGCGCATCGATATAACAACTTCTATGCTAGGGTCTATGAAGGTCAGCTCTCTTACTACTCTTCGTGTATAACTTGCTAAAAGGCTACACAGGCTGTAAAAATGTTAGGATTTACCGACTCTATCACTACCATGGTTCAATCTCTTCGTGTGAAAGAAGTATACCTTTCTCAATTATTCAGAAGGCTTCTGTGTGGTCGTGTTTTCCTAGGTATAGTGCTTTATGCCAATCACCTGAAACCTCCATCTAACTTGTGGTCTAGCAAACAGCACTGGTATCATAGCGCCGCTAGTTACATTCACAGTATTTGTGATTTCAGCCAATGTTAGCGGTCGTACATTGAGTACCTCGACAGCGTACACCTCGCTATCTCTTATTGCCCTCTTGGCAGACCCAATGAATACCCTGGTGAGGACAATACCTCAAATTAATTCTGCTGTTGCTTGTTTTGAAAGAATTCAAACTTTCATGTTATCGGATGCACGAAAAGACCACCGTTTGCCATTGGTAGGATCTCAATCATCAGACGCTACCAGCGATTCGAGTCAAGGTATCGAGTTGAAAGATATGTCAACTGTGATTAATCCTTCAGCAATGATCATTGCCCAGAATGCTAGCTTTGCTTGGAGTCAGGACGCTCTTCCTGTGATAAATGACTTCAGCTTTACCCTACCATGTTCTCAATCACTTTTCATCATTGGTCCGGTAGGCTGCGGAAAGAGCACTCTACTCAAAGGATTACTTGGTGAAACTCCTTCGTCAAAGGGCTTCATCTTTGCCAAGACCGCTAGAACGGCGTATGTTGAACAAAGTCCATGGATTCAGAATGGGACCATCCAAGACAACATTTTAGGTCCATCAATCTTTGACTCGCCTTGGTATGATCAGGTTGTTCGAGCTTGCGCTTTGGAACATGACATCGCGATCTTGCCTAATGGAAGTGGTGAGCTCTTCTCAGTTAATGCCATTTTTATCTCTTTTCAATGTCTTGCTTTTCCTTGTCATATAGTAGTGCGGTTTAATACTTCTCTTCTACTGTCTTCTCAAGACTGGAGAATTCAAATGCACTGACGATACCACAGCTACTCGTGTGGGAAGTGGAGGTATCTCACTAAGCGGCGGTCAAAAACAACGACTAGCACTTGCAAGAGCCGTTTACGCCAAAAACGAGTTTATCATTCTTGACGACGTATTTTCTGGGCTTGATCCAGAAACAGAAGAGCAAGTTTTCAAAAGACTTTTTGGAAAACAAGGACTCTTTCAAGAAATGGGAACCACTATAATTCTTGTCACTCATGCAGTCCACAGATTAGCATATTCAGATTACATCATCGCATTGGATCAATCAAGCCAGATCATCGAACAGGGTACCTTTGATTACTTAAAGACTAGTGGCGGCTATGTAGAGAATTTGGATGCTCGGCATAGATCAGAGGAACGTGACTCTGAAGAAGTTGATGCAAAGGCGACGACCCAGAAACAAAGTCCATTCGCAATTGTCGAAAATGATGATCTCACGAATGAAGTAGCAGATTTGAATCGACAAACTGGGGATGCTTCAGTATACCAATATTATTTTGCCTCCATCGGATGGGTACCGACTGGAGTCTTTTTCCTTCTTGTCTTGATATTTGGAGCAGCATCGAAATTACCGGAAATTGCTTTAACTTACTGGACTCGAGCTGTCGCTGTTGAAGGTAATAAAGCAAACCCATACTGGCTTGGAATATATGGAATGCTATCTGCTATTGCCATGATTGGATTCGTGGCAAGCATTTCCCATTTGATGTTATATATGATGCCGAAAAGTGCAAAAGTCCTTCACCAAAGATTGTTGGATTCCGTGATGGGAGCGCCTCTTTCTTTCTTCACCGCCACAGACACTGGGACAACTACGAATAGGTATGTACTTGGGTTGTATTATCGGAATCTTGCTAACTTCGGCTCAGATTCAGTCAAGACATGTCTATAATTGACGGAGACCTTCCCTATGCATTGGTTGATCTCTCATTGTCCATTGTGCAAGCATCAATGGGAGCTATTCTAATGTCTCTATCCGCGGGGTATTTTGCTGCAACTATTCCGGTCATCGGTCTAACAGTGTGGGGCAAGTCAACAAACACCTTCTTATATTAATTATTGCTGACCGGGAAACAGTGCTGCAAAAATTCTATCTCAGGACATCTCGGCAAATGCGTCTCTTAGACCTCGAAGCAAAATCCCCTTTGTACTCCCATTTTATCGAAACCCTTAGTGGTCTAACTACCATCCGAGCTTTCGGTTGGACCGAAAAGTTTCGCGAGCAAAATCTTGCGTTTTTAGACACATCTCAGAAGCCCTATTACCTCCTATTCTGTATTCAACGCTGGTTGGGTCTTGTCCTTGATCTTCTCGTTACAGCCCTTGCAGTAATTCTCATGGTGCTTATTGTCAAACTTCGCACCGATATTAGTCCGGGCTATGTTGGTCTTGCTCTGCTGAACGTTATGACTTTCAACCAATCACTTACTCTAATTATCAAGGAATGGACCCTTATGGAGACAGCCGTTGGGGCAGTCTCTCGTCTCAAAAGTTTCGCTGCAACAACTGTAAGCGAGAACTTACCATCCGAAGTCGAATCTGTGCCAGAAAATTGGCCAGCATTCGGAGCCATCGAATTCAAAAACGTAAAAGCGTCCTACACCTCGACATCCGTCCCTGTAATCCATGATCTCAACCTTTCTATAAAACCTGGAGAGAAAATCGGAATCTGTGGTAGAAGTGGAAGTGGTAAAAGTTCTCTCATCGCAGCGCTCTTTCGCATGTTGGAACTTCATCCTGGAAGTTCGATTCTTATTGATGGTATAGATATTAGCGCAATCCCTCGACAAACAGTACGGGCACGCTTGAATGCTGTTCCTCAGGATCCCTTTTTCCTACGCAGTACTATCCGCACAAATGCCGATCCGTATAATGTTCACACTGACCTTCAAATAATCTCCGCGCTGAAAAAAGTACAACTCTGGTCTCTTATTTCGTCTAAAGGAGGATTAGACGCGCAACTTGATACCGAATTCTTCTCACACGGCCAACGGCAATTATTCTGTCTAGCGAGAGCCATTCTAAGAGGAGGAAGAATTATTGTGTTGGATGAAGCGACGAGCAGTGTGGATAGCGAAACGGATAAATTGATGCAGAGGGTTATTAGGGAGGTCTTTGAGGGGTGTACGATTCTGGCTGTTGCGCATCGATTGGATACAATTGCGGATTTTGACCGCATTGTATTGTTGGGGAAGGGAGAGGTGGTAGAAAGTGGACAATTTGGGGAGTTAATGGAGAGGGAGGGCGCGTTTAGGGAATTGTATGATTCATGATTTGGAGGAGGGAGCGATTTCATGACTTTAGTCGACCGGGTCTATCGCCGCTAGAGATATGATAGTTAGAGGTTGGTTAGGGAGGCGAACAGGTAAGAATTCCCGACGTGGGATTTCAAACAGTTAGATACGTCACCTCCACCCGATGGAACGTCCATACTCGGAAATCGTTATCAGTGGTTTCGGGAGGCTTCGGATAAGGCGCAATTTAGAAAGTAATTATGCTTTGTACATTAAATTGCTTATGACTTGCATACATACGGCAGGAACAGCTCTATGTGATGGACTCTGAAGACTACGGTTGAGGCGTTATGCAGAGGAAATCATCCGTTGGATTCGTCACCGAATTGTTAATATCATGATCATCGTCGGTGTCTTATCAGTGAAGTTGTATATGAAGTTGTACGGAGTACATATGTGAATTGCAAGAACACCGATAGCCTGATAATTTATGAGATGGTATTAGGGATCCGCATTCGTCAAGTCTTCCAATGAATTTAGTGTATTGTTGATTTCAAAATTTAAGAGAGATTAGAACACCGATAAACAAGTCTGAGTGCCAATCAGAAGCGAGAAATGAAGGGGCTTGATTTTCGAGTCTTTGATAGAGATTAAAAGCATCTCCTCTTAATCTGAAAAGCAATAATTAATTCAAATTGATTTCAATGAAATTGTAAAGCCTCATTATTTGACATTACAGTATTTAATTCTCATTGAAAGACTTCGAAGAATTCTTCAACTGTAAAATGAGGTACAGAATGCGCGTTGGTGTCAAATCTCGACGTCGTTTCATATCCATGCAAATGCGATAGTTGATTGTTAGGATTGTTAGGCGATGAGGTTTGGTATTTACAAAATTGTTTCCTTAAATATCTGTGCGGGTTGATATCTGATATCAATGAGGGCCCTGCTGTTTCGATAAAGTTTGATAGATTAGATAGGCATAATAATGTAGGTCGGTCTCGCCGAATTCTGCGTGGGGAGCATTGCTGATCCAGTCTGTTATCAGTGTTTGCCCGTTAAGTGGCTCGAGTGGATACGAGGTTTGAGTTGGGGAAGAGACGAAGAAGCTCCACTGATAGATAATGGCGGGTTGAGAAGAGAGAGGGTGGCTGCTTTTGATGGTGCCTAAGAGACCAAGAGCTTATCAAGAATTAGTTTTTCTGGGTCCAAGATGCTAGTTCTCAAGTGGTTAATCGAGTAATTAAAAGTGGACTTTCTGGGGAAATTCATTGGTAGTCGGTCTTCCAAGTAGTCTGGATTGAAGGCCGAGATGAATCTTGGCCCGTTGGATTTTGCTTGGAGAGGGGGATTCTTGGAATGAGGTTACGAACTATTGATCACGAGATTAGCTTGAGTGCTGTGCGGATGTATAGCCAATGGAAAATATCCAATTTTGCCTGCTGATATCACAGTAGTTTAAATAGTATGATACACATATGACGTTTGATGTAAGCCTTTCTATCTGCAAAGAAGGTTTTCGAACAATAAAATACTTCATTCTTTCCGGCAACATCGGATGTAACGTCCCTCGAACAGGCTTCCCTGAACGCCTTGGTGAACGCCTCTTAAAGCCATCAAACGCCTGTGAACCACTGATGAACGACTTCAAGGCTGCTGATCCCTTCCACCCTTGATCTTTCAACCCTTGAATCCTCTTGCATACGGAAATAATGTACTTTAGCTTTAATCACATGATATTTCTCATGTCAACCAATCGGTCCAACTTATTTTAAATCCAGCCATTCTTATCTCTAACATCACGAGCACTAATATCCGAATTTCACGCGGCCTCTTCTCCATACCCACAATAATCCCAACCAAGCCTTTACCGTTGTGCATTAATTAAATCCTTTCGAAGTCTGCAAGGTTCAATCCTAGAAGATCTTTCAAGTTTGATTCGACGTGGCAAAATGTGGAGGTAGATCTTAGTCGTGTTTAGAGATGACATTGTGTCATAAAAATTCCATGTCAGTCAATGTGCAGCGAAAGGGAACCTGTCAAGAAGCAAGAGAATGAGCGAGCTTAGAGAAGCAATGGAAATAAGAGAGGCTAAAAACATCATCCTTGAATAAAGCAAGGACTTGAGAGATAGCTAAAATCTTAGTATTGGTTGCTAAGAAACTTGGGTGGACTAACTTTTTGACTGGGTCCGACAGAATAGGTATATCTGGAGATCGGGTGGGAGGGGTGAAGGGGTTTGGCGTGGTTTATTGCGGATTCATGGGAAAGCTGCAAGTGGAAATCTTTCCGGTAAACATACTTTCTCTTCTAGGTATAACCTCTGCTGATCAACTAAATTGGGGTTCCCTCGAGAAAGGTGATATAGAAGCTACATATCCCACTGTACTGCGACTCTCCCTCCCTTTTCTTTACCAACCATAATACAAAGTACCCTAAGAAGGTTATTTGAGTCGGGCACTCAAGTTGTTGAGCAGTCATTTGTCTTCCTTTTCGCATTTACTGTTATAATTAATTATTGATACCTTCGGATATCAACATCAAATAGCACTCGACACAGTTACCTCTCGTGTTTCGATATAATGGAGGAACCAAATTACAATTCCGAAAAGGGTAATCCCCCTCTCACTACCACTGATACTGGTAGCCGAGAGGCATACATGGCAGAAACAAAGGCACCTTGGTCAACAAGATTAGTCGACAGCTTCAAGAGAGATCCTAATGCTGCTGTAACAAAGCCAAGTCAAAGAGGTCTCGATGGACTCGAATCACATGTCTCGGGATTTGATCACAGAGCTGCTGCTGAAGCTACTGCCAATTCTGGTTTGGCTAGAGAATTGAAACCTCGTCATTTGCAGATGATTGCAATTGGTGGTTCCATTGGTATGTCAAGACACCTTTTGTGATATCGATTTAAAACAGTGAATGCAAATGCTAAAGGTGCTACCAACAGGTACTGGTCTTTTCGTCACATCTGGAGCTGCTTTGTCAAGTGGTGGTCCAGCTTCCCTCATCATCGCATATGGTATCATCGGTATAATGTTGTTCTGCACTGTTCACGCATTGGGAGAAATGGCTGTCGTTTTCCCTGTCTCTGGTTCCTTCTCTGCTTACTCTACTCGATTCATCGACCCTGCTTGGGGATTCGCAATGGGATGGAATTATGCTATTCAATGGCTTGTCGTCTTACCTCTGGAAATCGTCGCTGCTTCTATTACTTTAGAATATTGGCCTGGTGCAGCTAACACTAATGCGGCTGCTTGGGTTACGATTTTCTTCGTGGTTATCGTTGCGATCAACTTCTTTGGTGTCAAAGGTTATGGAGAGGCCGAGTTCGTCTTCTCAATCATCAAGGTCGCTGCAGTTATTGGATTTATCATTCTTGGTATTGTTCTCAACACTGGAGGACAAGTCGGAGGCGGAGAATATATCGGAGATCGTTATTGGTATCCCAATACCGTCCCATCCACGTATGCTGGCTATGACAGTCCGTCAAACCAGGACGCTGATGGACATCCTGTTCAGATTGTATCTGGTGCCTTTAACAATGGTTTCAAGGGTCTTTGCTCTGTATTTGTCACAGCTGCATTTTCTTTCGCTGGTACTGAGCTTGTCGGTTTGGCCGCAGCTGAAACCGCCAACCCACGTAAAACTCTCCCAACTGCTATTAAGCAAGTTTTCTGGCGTATTTGTCTCTTCTACATGGTTGCCTTGACCTTAGTCAGTGTTCTTGTACCATACGGAGATGGAAGACTCTTGGGAACAAGTTCCACTGATGTTAAGGCCTCCCCATTCGTTATCGCTATCAACAATGCTAGAATTGACGTTCTTCCTTCAATCATGAACGTTGTCATTCTCATCTCTGTTCTTTCAGTCGGAAACTCCTCCATCTACGGTTCCTCGCGTACTCTTGCCGCTCTTGCAGAACAAGGTCAAGCCCCAAAGTTTCTTGCCTACATTGATCGCAAGGGACGTCCTCTCTTTTCGATCATTTTCGCTTCAGTTTTCGGTCTTCTCTGCTACGTCGTAGCTGGTGGACCAAGTACTGCTGCCACAGCTCTTAACTGGCTTTACTCTCTTTCCGGTCTTTCCTCCCTCTTCACATGGGGATCCATCTGTCTCGCACACATCCGATTCCGCGCTGCATGGAAAGCACAAGGTCATACCCTTGATGAATTAGCCTTCACATCTCAAGTCGGAATTATTGGTTCATGGATCGGATTCATTCTTAATTGCCTCGTACTCGTTGCACAATTCTGGACAGCTATTTGGCCAATTGGATATGCATCGATGTCTCCAACTGATATTGCGAAAAGTTTCTTCCTCGCGTATTTGGCGGCTCCAGTTGTCTTGGCGTTTTACATTCCTTATAAGATCTGGTATAAAACTCCATTCATGAAGGTAATGGATATGGATTTGGACACAGGAAAGAGAGATCTTGATACTCCTGCATTGATCGAACAAGATCGTCTTGAGAAGGCTTCGTGGCCTGCGTGGAAGAGAGCTTACAAGACCATGTGTTAAATACCATAAGGTCATGGGCTAGGGAACAATGGCGTTTAGGATTGGGTAATCATATGATTATGTATCATGTTTTATTACCATGTTAATGATTGTCTTATTTTTGGTGTCTTGATGCTTGATAGACATATGAGGATGGGAAAAACGGGTTGGGGATGGGCGGGGCTGGGGCTGGGGGCAGACCTCTGTTAAGATCAAACGTTGGTTGTTGGAATGGAGCGGAAAAGTTTAGAGAGAAATTAAATGATATACCATTACCACCTCAGATATGAAGCTTGTCTTCTTCTTAATATGATGTGATTTACTATATATTGCCTTCTTCAAGTTTTGTAGTTGCAAATATAAATTGACTACTCGTATATCGCGTACAAACAGAGCTTTCAAAGTTTGAATCATAATCTGATAATCACAGGGGTTTTAACGTCTGAAATAGTTTTGGATTAGTATTCCGGCTTTCTCCCTCATAATTTAATCTGTTCACAAGTCAAAGTCTCTAAGCATCGGACTACAGTTCGGATTGTTGGAAACTGTATTCATTTATTGTTGATTGAGTAGTAAGGTTATAGTGCTGGGGATGTCAATACAAAAAACAACAGAATCTCAAAATATCTATTAGGATACATCTCCTCTAAACATCAGAACAAGCTAAGGTGCAGCTTATAGGTAAGTACCTAGGTATAGAAGGATAGTAGTACAATAGTTAGCAAGTACCTAGTTTGAGATATACATAATTCAAGGTGCAGAATCTTGTTTGGACTGTGTTTCCTGGTTTTTTGGGTGTGATATGATGTGATGTGATGTAGAGGATGGTGATAGTATAGTGTGGTTGGGCTAATTTGATCATGTTTGGGGGGGTTCTGAATTTGTTTAGTCTAAAGCTGGGAGTCTAATATAGTGCATTCTAGTATGGTATGAAGAGGAAGGTGCTAGCCTGAATAGGCATATATTGTATTATAGGTTCGACGCCAGAGCCCTAAGGGGTATGGATGGTCCAATGGTAACCATGTCCATTACAATAAAATCCATTTTTCTTATGATAGTGCATATTAGCCCTGGCGATCTGATACTAGATTCAAGCTTAAAGTTAAGATCTTTTTGAGGATCTTGGAATTGCGTCATAAGCAGTGAATTAGAACAGAACGGAATGGAAAAGAATGGAATAGATGATTGTTCGATGTGTTTTTGAGGTCATATCAGGCAGATTTGCTAGATGTACGTTTTAGGAAAGAGAAAACGAGCAAAAGCACGACGGAATGTGGGGATGAATCAAGACACCGATGCCCCTTAGTAACTTTATTCGGATATGCGACAATAATATGGAACCATAGGATATGACGATGCGGCTATGCAGTGACTTACTTCTCAAGATTACTCTATATTAAATGAAGAAGCAAGAAAGAGAGAAGAGAAAGACGGGATCATGATAGGGACAAGAATGCGGGAAACGGATTTATATGATATAGATAAGATAACAGATATGCGACTGTCACGACCACATACTAGAGCATATCATAGAGGTCAAATAACTAGAATAAGAAAGCTAAAGAGGAAAGAGATCCTTAAGGGATCTCTTTATCTCTTATATACGTCTAGTTCAAGCTAGTCTTGAACTAGGCTGTGATGAGTCATCATATGTATCACGTGATATTCATCACAGCGACGAGATTATTGTAACTCTGATGCGAAATTCTGATGTCGCTTATGACGATTTAGATGGCGTGAGAATTGATCGACTAGCTGTTTTTATAGGTAATAGCACTTTGGAATATGAGCGTTGGGAAAGTATCTTGTTTAGTAGCTGGGTTAGATCCAACATATTAGACTTTTTAGAATGAGCTCTAAATTACACTAAGAGATAAGGGAATACAGAGAGCTAAGAGATGTTTGGGCTGGAGCTATAGTTTGGAATGATGTTCTTAAGAGAGAATGAAGAGGAGAAGTGAAGCTGGGGAGTGAGGGGGGCTGCTTTATGGTAAGATTTCTTGAGTTTGTCTTTATTTTGGCAGATCAACTTGATTAGAGGACTTTAGTTAAAGTCAGAAACAATTCTGAAGTAAAAGCAAGTGGATCTCCTTGGAATGTTCACCGGCAGAAGATCTGTATCAATCTGCAATTGTAAAGTGATGATTGGGTAGCTACAATACTCAGGCTCGCTTCGGAGGATGGTAGAGGAGAGAGAGGAGGGTGGGTAAGATATCGGAGGGGAATGAAGGTATTATATTTACTTGATTCCTCCGACTCTCCTATTTGATGATATGTTATGTATCTGAATTGAGAATTTTTTGTCATAATTGTTTCTGCTCAATGGTTTTCATCACAATATCCGGATCTTCCGGGCTAGCTTGATTAAATTGGAAGTCATTGCCCGGTGATCTAGCATGAAATGTGAAGTTTTTTTTCGTTGTACCTGTAGAATTATGTGTACTTCAAACCCTCTCATCTTCTATCTTGTTCTTATGTATTACAGCGTATTTAAGTCTTCATTTATGAGTGATTGCGTCTTAGTTTCATTCCTTTGACTGCGACGTCATTGTTACTTCCTCTATAGATGCCATATGCGATGGGGCTTTCATTCAAGTACCAGTTTTCTATTTTCCTTAAGGATGTGAATGACGGTTATATCAAATTTATAACCTTAAGTATTCTTGAATACCTCATTCCCTGAGTCCTGAAGTCATTACCCGAGAGAATTTGAATTAACATCTAACTCATAGCCATTGAAATTTAGTTTCTACGGAGATAACTAAAGAAAGATGGAAAGTACATATAAGCCAAAGATATTGAAACCATATCCAGTAGTCAAACAAAGCACTCTAGCCAGTCTTCGAACAAACTCATACCAAGAAATAATGCGGGGTCAACTCCTGTTAAATAATCCACATGTGGAGAGGGCTTACTGTCAATCTTCACCTTGCATGGTTTCACACAATAAGCCGCAGCAACTTAAGAGTACACTTTGCCAAGCCATATCATTAGTGTAAAGTACATTTGTGTACGACGAGTCTCTAAAAAAACGAAGCTGGCGAGCTCGCTGAGATTTCGAGAACTCCATGACCTGAGTATTTAGTGGATTGAAATAGTATCAATTTCCAAGAGTGAGGGCAGGAGGAGGAGGATGGTTATACTGTTGCAAAATGCTATTTGTCTAAGGATTGGGGGTGGTACTCGAGGGTATGTAAGCGAGGTGTAGTTGGTGTAAATGCCAAGCATGGAGTCGGAAATTGACTGGCTGAATGCTTTTATTCACTCATAGTATATCATTCTGTTGAGAAAGTTCTAGCGGAGAGTTGACGGAAATACAATTATGGCTCTTGTTCTGAGTACTGTGACTGCGGTGACGGTTCTGTTGATGAGGCTGCATGCAACAACTTATCAGCTGGTGAGGCATGTAGCACTCAGATATTAAAGCCCATGCCTAAGAGCGGGAGTGCTCTACGACACAAAGGGGCCTGGGACCCGAGGCCTTAGGCTCCGATGGGGAATCCAAGACTCCCAGGATCCTAGAGGATCTCATAGCAGCAAAAGCTCTACAAAAATCATAGTCGTTTTCTTGTTGGATAGAATCTTCATCTTTACTCGAATACAGTATATTCATACATACTTGATAACTTCTAATGTTATAAATGTGACGATTGATCACATCGAATAGCTCTTCCCCTGCGAAATAATGTGCCCAAAGCGTAATCAAAATTGTTCTGAAGCGGTCAGCACCTGGAGTGTAAGTGGAATGGGGGACCTTGATAGCAACCTAGTCAAGGCTGCAAAGGCAAAAGGTAGGATCGCAATGGGTGACGCGAGGCTTATAGGTGCTAAGTAGGTATAATGAGCCCGGTCCATCAGGGTCAACGGCGAATGGCCGTATAGGGCATATATATAAGCAAGTGAGGTAAATAGGTAGTGAAAGTGAAGATCTTGTACGACTTGATTTCGAAGAGCAAGTATTCTCCTAGACATACAGGAAGCTTTGGGAAGAGGCTCACGTGTTGAAGAGCTAAGGTAAGCAAGTCAGTTATATTAAAGAAATGGGCCCGCCCTTCTCGTTCCAATATCGTGGGTTAGACCCTCGATTATAAGACCTCTTGCTCGTTCAATGATGACGGAACTTCACATTATTTCCCATTCAAGTCTTTTTTACTTCAGTGAAAGGATTCTGACTACTCAAGCATTCGTCAAAATTTCTCCGGCGAGGCAAGATGAAAGCTTGGCCAACCCGTTACAAACTTCTTAGCTCTTCTAATCTCATGTATAGTAATATTGAGTTTAAGAGTCTTAATATTTCAAGTAGCAGAAGTCTCAATGTTTATTTTTGGTTCGATATTGTTCTCTTCAAACTCATACAGCATTGGGTTTCCGAGAGTAAGCATTCCAGTAATCATTGGTATCTGCTCATCTGCTGCAATCTATATCAGCAGCGTTCACACTCAAACTTATTTTCCGACATTTTGATTACGACAAAGAATACAAAATGAAACATTCTAGCAAGTGGGAAGTTATTAGGATCCGATTCACTACTTGAGATTTTTTAGGGAATGGAATTGAGATTTGCACCATTAGTAGTAAAGCAACATTTGGTTAAAAAGACATCGGCTGATGGTTTTACGGTACATCTTGTATTCAGCTTCAAAGGAAGTATTAGCAAACCTGAATTTTCATCAACTAAAAACACAAAGAAGCGATCATCCTTCCGAGTGGAAACAGCACGTCCCAGCTTGGACACGGCGACTTAAACTTCATGTAGTCCATAACCCACGACTCTCTTCTAACATCATCGCCTACTATGCCCCGTTATAAGAAGCCTGTGCCTCCCAGCATGAATAAGGCCAACCCCAATTTTCATTTAGATTATCATCGACATTCTCCGTTCTCGCCTGTTCTCTAAGATCATCGCTCACTGCAATGCATAAATCCCATTCCGCCATATTTGCCTGTGCCCTGCCAGGGTAGATACTGCCGGTGTTATAATCTACCGGAACATTTCCCCGAACCTGGATATGCGGCTGTAGGAAGATGGTTGTTGGCTCCTTGTCGCGTGTCAGACAATCGTACAAATAGGAACAGTCCCAAGCGGGCGCTCGCAAGTCTATACACTTCTCGGCGGCTCGACGCTCTAGATCTTCAACATAAAAGTTCTTATTTAGGTTAGCGCCATTTTCTTCTTGCTGTGCCGCCTGGTACCACAGCAGTGCGTGCGGCTCTGGTGTAAGCTCACTCCACAACTCATGATAATCTGCAACTATACACGCCATGGCAACCTGCAGACCCATATCGGGACGTCGGCGTGCTAACTCACGCAGTGTTGCTTCCTGGGGAATTAACGGCCACCAGATCATGAATGGCATCGACTGGTCCATGTCCGGTGTTTCTGTAGTGGAGGTAATACGGGACAAGTCATTGACCATGATGAAGCGGGCTAAAGTGGCTCTTTTTATATCCCAGTAATCGCCTTTATCAGCGAATCCAGACTCTAACTGACCATGACACCACCGCGCAAAGGACGTATGATGATAGATGCCACGGACTATGGCCTCAGCCTCTCCCTTCACCATGACAGGACGTCGGAGGCGCGCGTATCGATCAATATTGCCCTCGTAAGCAGCATGAAGTATTAATGTATCTTTGTTCGTGGTTGGGAGGTGAATTGGAAGAGGATCGTACAGCAAAGATACGTGCTCAGGGGCCAGAGGATGACCATGGGCCTGAGCTGAAGATGTCTCGCCAACACCGTAATCTTCCGTAATATTGAAGTAATGCGATCTCGCCTCCTCCCATTCTTTCCAAACATCAAATGTCACATTCAATGATGATAGCAGTGCTGTATCACCATTCAGGCCCATTGCTATCCTTGGAGCCTGTAGATTCAGGGAGCGCGTATAATCGTCCAAGATGGCGTAGCGCGTCGGCTGGCACACAATGAAGTCAAATATTTCTTTCGAACCAGCAAAATCTGAATTATGCCATGCCTCTTCCGCAATGGAGATGTCTGGAAGCAAATCTAGCTCGCGATACAAGTCGATATAGCCGCCAACAGCACATGCTCGACCAACATGATACTTCATATCGGGATATCTCTGAGCTAAATCACGATATGTGTCAACAGTCGCTAAATGTGGATGCCAAATACAATATGGCTTCTCTTCAACATCAGTCATGAGCGGTATCTTATTGCTCATGATCAGGCGTGCATTCCTAGCGCGGGCGAAGATTTTATTGCTGCTCTTAGCACAGATTTCCTTCATTGACTCAGACTCGGCGAATGATTCATTATAGCGCAACCCATGGATTATGGAACAAGTCATTCTGAGCTCGTTAAAGTTCTTCGGGACAAACTCCCCTCGTATCGCGTCTAGATAATTTTGTTGTAAAGAGGCAGCCCCATGATTGTGCGAAGGGAGATGAAAGCCGTCTCTATTGTTTGAAAAGCCAGAAGAATAGATTTTTTCAGAATCCATTATGGTATCTACTTGAAATCCCCGGAATTGCGATTGAAAGTAGATAGATGGGTGTAGATGAAGATTTAAGTATTCCCTTCGAGTGAGGTAGACACTTCTTTTTGTATTGCTGACTTATTCGAATGAATCCTTGCTAGCGTACGATATTGAAAGCTTGCTTTAATTAAGGCCGCCTATGGTACCGCTCCACCCCACTAAACCCAATCTCTATGCTCGCATGGTGCATGGCACCTTCGTATGCAGTTAGTTCTAAGCAAGTGCAAACGGATAGATAACAGGACCCATTTTATTTTTTGGTGCTATGCAATCTGAGCGCTTGTCTTCTACATTTGATAAATTGGCAGTTGCATCATTTGATCACCCATTGAAAAGACAAAGATCTCCATCGCCTACACGCCTACACGCCTACACGCCTACACGACCGCACGAAAGCCGTGTGAATCTTCTCACGATTGTACCTTAGTATTTGTACATGCTCGCAGAGCTATTGTGAGCTGCGTTCATTTCACTTTACGCTAACTTCAATTATCTGCTCCAAACACTAAGCATCAGTTATCAGACACTGCTCAAACTGAATCCACCGAAACAGAATAGGCAAAGTGACATCCTGATAACTTTTGGTACGTGCAACATCTCTTCTCTCATAAAAAATCTCCGTGTACAGTCAGGTTCACTTGGGTAGATTCTCAATGAGAACAGACATTAAAACATCCAGTAAACATCAGGCCACATTCAACTACCCGTCCTATCAAGCTTCATGTACCAAGCATAAGCACTAAAAGAACAATGTCTACTGCTACATATGAGCTCGCAGAGGTTAATATAGACGCAGCATTCTGCACGGAACGTAGGCTAGCAACAGGAGATTCAATCTCGCCGATTTCAATCGGATCTGGCGTGGCTGTAAATACTGGATGCGTAAAATGCGCATATTTGAGAGGCCACAACGATAATTACAACTGTATTCCCAAAGACCCAGGATGTTACCCTGAATGAATTCGACTGTTTTTCGTACACGATAACAGCCACACCATATATATCCCCCATCAACGCGTGTCAATTCAAACAACAGTAGAGATCCAATCAAGATTATACCGTCGCATTAGCTAATTGGGTCACCGGCATTGCCGAATTAGCGGAGCCTGTTCAGATCGGTGGCTCCATCCAAGATGAACGAAGACATGTGAGTTCAGCTACAGAATTTCCCACGCTGAACGTATTCGCCCTCTTATTATACCTGAAGACAATGGCGAGCAGGCAAGTACCGTCGAAGACTGCCTAGCCAATTGTTTAATTTCCAGTATTGAACTAGTCGATGCCTATCATTTGAAACTCTTGGTCAACTTCGTTCACGGCCAAGATCTCCGCAATGTCTGCATCAGCAGATTAGCTTGAGAGACATCCTGACTCACCAGTGGAGTTAACAAGATATTCATATTAGCTAGAGCAAGAGCACATTACTTGCCCATAGATTCGTATGTGCAACCTGAAGAATCCTCCTGGCAACTACTCAGAGATTGCTTCGAATGCATGACCTGATCATGGGGTTGTATCATCAATCTTGCCCCATGACGTGGCCAGGTCGGCTTCCGAGGCATTCTGGTAATATTATAGTGAGAAGCCGCAACATCCGTCAATTGACTGGGTTGAATCAGCCAATGTACTAACAAATTAGTGCTGGCAGATTCATCAGGACGAGTCCATGGTCAGCAATGCATCATCGCCCATGAGTGAGTCTAGAATGCTGTGCAAAAGGCAGTAACCTCATTAGACTGGTTGCATATACTCGTGCTTGGAAAAGTGATGTTATTGACGATGCGGAGACGAGCACTCAATCCCTTCAGAAGTCGGCCCGAAGAGAAGTGCAGATGATATTGCGCTCTGCTTTTGTTTTCAAGAGATTGATGAGCCTAATCTCACAGACTCACAGGTTTTTTTGTCTTTCCACCACAACCGGACATCAACAATGCAACGTATGTTGATGTAGAAAAAGACGAACCTATGGATAGATGGTCAAATGATACCTGGTACTGGAATAGACCACAGAAGCTAATGCTTGCTTAACTAAATTTGTGATCGGAAATATCTGACATTTATCACTATCTTGTAGATGGGCTGATATCTGACATCCAAGTGGAGCGCGAGCGCTTGCAAGTACCTCGGTAGCTTCTGAACTGATTTAAGCTGCAACTGTGCCGCAGGCTTTTTTCTTAATTTGCAATCTTCGGTGATGGTGTAGAGCACAAGAACTGTGAAAATGATTTTCAGAATTCAATGAACTAATTCAAATGAGGAAAGTGATTTGGTCTTCAGGCAATATCTTGATAGAACACTCTTCACGGTAAAATCTAGGACCATGGGCCGAAGACACTAATGCAGTGCTCTAAAGAAGACAAAGCTCCTGAACCATTGCATCGGTAAATTAAAGTAAATCGAACCCTGAAAGCTTAAATGATCCATAGTACCTCATTTGATCCAGCCCCATAATTGATCCACCACTTATCATCTGCCTCTTGTCGCTAGGTCGAGTGGATCTACAGATCCAGAAATCAAGGTTTTCCAGGGTTCAGAATAAGTTTAATCTAAATTAGTGCAAAAAGCTTCCTATCCGACACTAATCCGGATATCAGCCCCGTTTTGATGCTCGCGGTTGTGATCGATGTGCGGGTCTTGCTCATTGCAAGAGTAGAAAGATGTACGTGCAGCTTTTCCATGAGCCGCGGCGATGCCTTTTGCACTGCCAAACAATACTCGAACATGCCACTCGACATTTGGGACATGCTCTCCTGTGATATCCCTTGTCAAGAGTAATCCGAATGATGAGTATAGATTTCAATACATCCGCACTCATCAGTCGCGAAAGATTTCACAGAGATTGTCTGATTTGGCACATAACCTCCTTAACCAGAATTATAACTGCTACCAGTAAATTACCGTCCCACTGCAACCAAGATTCTCGAGTTGTCTTCTTCTTCCTAGGGTTCATGTATATACTGTCTCATAACATCCTTCTAACCATATTCTCAGACTGCAGTATAAACTGTCCAGCGGTTTTCGGAAAATCGCCCTCTCAAAGATTTATTGTCTTGCCCAAGTCCAAGACTCTTCAAAATGCTGCTTCGCTTCCACTGGCTCGCGGTTTGGTTGGCATTTTTGATGGCTCAAGTAGCGAGCAAGAGTATCTCGGGTGCATACGAGAAGATTTGGTTCTATTATGTCTATAATTTAGCCTGGAAGCTAGATGGATCGGAACAGACTGCCATTCTTCCATGGCTGACTAGGAACAATCAGATAAATGCGAGAAACAACGGTAACAAGGGAAAGGATACTACCATGAATGGACAATTGAACTTTAGAGAATTTGTGAGTCTCATGGCCTTCCAAAATCCAGCACAATCTACACTCGTGCTGGACACTGAAGACCTAGATGGCACGGCAATGTCAATTTGGAGGGGAGGATATGGTGGGACGGTCAGGGTTGGGATTGCGACAAACACTGGACCCGGCACGAAAATCACAAAAGAACCATCATACAACCAGTTTCTCGAGGATCTTACGGGTGTGGTTACTAGGGCTCGAAAGACTCTGGAAGCTGGTGAAATATCTGATATCATGTCTCAGATGGATAAATTGCTCGACTCCATCATTACCATTCGCAGCAGAGAGTTCCGCCTCTCCTATTTGGGGAGAGACATCGCTGCTGCATTTCCAGGAACAACAGTCACGTATGTGGATGTTCCTGATCCGAATGAAGATCCTGCCACGGGCAAGACGATTAAAGCAGTCGATGTGACAGCCACTTTCAGAGATGAGCGAAACACTGCGCTAATAATGAGACAATTTGGGTCGGAAGAAGTATCGGCGACAAATTTCATAGCTTGGGTGGACAACTATGGCGTTACTGGTAGGGATGGACCTAAGTACACAGGCCCAGCAATCGTACACAGAACTGTTCTGGACCTGTGGAAGTCGGCCAAAGACCAAGTCAACCGCCCTGTGTGCTAGATCTGATCATAATCAGTGCTCAGAAACCTTGTATAAGAGGAGAGGTCTTCTATCCGCGCTATTTCATTGGGAATGTTTCTACTGTATTTTCTTGGATTGGGTACCACTTCGTACTTTGACATGATGATAAAGTTCATGTAAATTGTAAAGCAGTCATACCTGAGCGCGCTGTATGGCTACTTCCATTAATTAATATCAAATTTTTTATTATGGAGGCACAATTCGAAAAAAATAAATGATTGATTGATTTACTTGCCCTCAATCCAGTGAAGTCCTACTTAGGTAATCGAAAGTACCCAAAGTTAAAGGTTTGCAAACTATGTTATGGCCCAAATGTTACTAAATTAAGAACCTTTTCGTACCAAATAAATGAATTGAAGTAATCTCCAGTCTAAAATCATTTACCTTGAAGAGATCGATGTACATACTGCGTGATTGAGGCCATGATGCGGCGCTTTCTCGAGTAGCCGCTCGGTGATCATTCCTAGAAAGAGATTTACTGCATGGATTTGCTGTAGACTAAGAATTGCTTGATGCTTTAGCTCCAGATGAAGCTTCGGTGATTGAAAAAAAAGTTTTTACTTTTCGCTATGTATTGGTTCATTTCGGATGAACTACTTACTATGTTGGTCTCAACCCAGTAGCTACCCGCTACGGCAATCTGCTGAAGAGAGTCTCTGATCCACATAGTGGATCTAGCTACCTTGTCTTTTGGTATCTCTTGTAACGGTTCAACCCGAGAATTCCCCGCAATCAACTTATGACTGGTACTTATGACTGGTCTCGCCTGCCTGTGATTAGCCCCTGCCCACAGATCCACTTTAGTTGTATTAGATCATACCTATACTAGCTTAAAGCTTATAATCTAGATCTTCGCTAGTGATTTTTTCCCCCGACCCATAATACAGAGCATAGGTACTTGTGCGGTCAGTAAGTTTGAAACTTCGGCGCTGAGTAAATCAGGGTCTTTCCCCCCATGTATTTTGCTATCATATAGGAAACTAGCTTCAGAGTGACATACTTACTGCGCCGCACTAGTAGTAGGATAGCCTTTCCGCTTCCGTCAGCACAACTTTTAATGATCCTTCACCTGGCTAGTGGACCTGTCTACACTGCACAGCTCATAGATTGCCTAATGAGTGATAACTCTCAGGAAAACACTGTACGGGCAAATTATATACTTTTCATTTGAGGTTCATATTTTGAATGGGAAAAGTGGTGGGTGAAACATGACAATTTCGGAAATGATATCCCAAGCGGGACTTCTTTTCAAAGTACAAGCGAAATGTCGATGTGATGAGACCACCCCCAGCGGCTTGTCAAGAGGAATTTTTTACTATGACTTTAGCTCCCACGACAATCCAAAACCTTTATATTCAGCATCTCGTCTGGTAATTATTCTATAGTTTTCTTTCCATCATCAATACCTACTTTTGTCACTCATTTTCGCCCTAGTGCTGTGTTGTCTCCCACCTGCCCAATATGAAATGCTTATTGCCTGCAGCAGTTGCCCTACAATGGGTTGTCTGCGCTCAGGCTAAGGCTGCCTTCGCTCATTTCATGGTAAGACCGTGTATGATAAGCTATTTCAAGAGGAGCCTTACGCTAACAAATACTAGGTGACGAACTCCCAAAACTATACGGCGGCGGACTGGAGTGGTGATATCTCGTTGGCCCAAGCGGCACACATCGATGCTTTTGCTCTCAACATGGCCTATGATGATCCAGTTAACAGTGCTGGCGTGGCCGCGGCCTTTGTAGCCGCCGATAGTGCAGGGTTCAACCTCTTTTTCTCATTTGACTACGCCGGCAACGGTACCTGGCCTATGGATCAGGTGATTTCTTACATCTCAACCTACAGCTCCCATGGGGCTTATTTCAGGCATAATGGCTTGCCCTTTGTTTCGACCTTCGAGGGCCCAGGCAATGCAGAAGACTGGGTTGAAATCAAACAACAGACGAATTGTTTTTTTATGCCTGATTGGAGTTCTCTAGGAGCCAAGGTGGCTATGGAGCAAGCTAATGGCGTTGCTGACGGTTTATTCAGCTGGGATGCTTGGCCTTGGGGGAAACGATATAATGACGTATGGCGATGCTTCTTATGATCAATATCTCGGCGGCAAACCGTATATGATGCCGGTCTCACCGTGGTTCTATACTAATCTCCCTGGCTATAACAAAAATTGGCTTTGGCGTGGAGATCATATTTGGCCCGATCGCTGGATCCAAGCAATGTGGTGGCAGCCTGAATTTGTTGAGATCATCTCATGGAATGACTACGGCGAGTCACACCACATAGGACCTTTGCGCGACAATGCCATGGCAGCTTTCGATATCGGCGAAGCGCCTTTCAACTATGCGCTTCAACATGATGGCTGGCGTGATATTCTGCCCTTTGCGATCGATATGTACAAGAATAACGTCTCAACTATTACCAAAGAAGGTGTTGTCGTTTGGCATAGACTGTCCCCAGCAGCTGTTTGCTCCCCGGACAATACCACAGTCAACACGGCTTCGCAGCTGCAGATAGAGTTTTTGCCGGAAATGATGCTCCAAGATGCTGTCTTCTTCACCGCTCTTCTTGCCGAAGGCAATAATGAGTTCAATTTCAAGATCGGCAGTATGACCAGCGGAATTATCCTTTATCACGAGCCCGAAGGCGGTGCCGGGTTATACATGGGGTATGCCAACTTTAATGGTCTCAGCGGCATAGTAGATCTTCAAATTAGCCGTGGCGGCCAGACAGTGGTAATCTTTTCTGGCTCGAGAGAAATTGCAACAATCTGTGCCAATGGGTACAATAATTTTAATGCATTTGTTGAGAGTGCATGGTCCGAAAATTCCGTTTCCGTCCAAGTTCCCTCGTTGAGTGACACTGTCTGTGTCAATGGAACTGGATATGGTGAATTTGAGATGCTGTGTGACTATACTTGCGCACATGGCTATTGTCCACGAGGAGCATGTGTTTGTTCGGCCTTTGGAGAACAACCAACGCTCCCAGAATGGACTGGGGTTGTAGGATACCCAGTCGGAGATGATTCCTTTGGGGGACTTTGCGGCTTTGCGTGCGGTCTCGGCTATTGTCCCACAGAGCATTGCTCAACTGTCAAGGTTGCTATCACTCCGTCTGCCGTGTCACCATTTACGCCGAGTGCCTGTACTGGAGGATCGGGAATCGGGGACTGGAATGAGATCTGCACCTTTACGTGCGCCCACGGTTTCTGTCCTATCGCGTTGTGTGTATGTGAAGAGAATGGAATCCTGGATCTTTTTCAACCAAATGAAACTGCCAATGCCATCTCGATAGATGGAGACGATTTTGGCCTGTGTGGCTTTGCGTGTGACCGTGGCCAATGTCCCATCGAAGTTTGTCTTGATGCCGACAATGAGGATCAATATGGCTGGGGGCCTGACTATAATGCCACTGACGATACTTACTATGACGTATCTGACCCGCTAAATATTATATACTGCGATGCTAGTTCTAAGCCTACCACGCTTGATGATCTACTCTCAGCTACAGCTTCACAGTCAATCCCATCTCAGTGCTGGAGCCGATGGACGTTAAGCATCCTACTTGAGACACTTGGCAATCTACAGTACGAGTATAACACATCTGTCAAAGGCTTTGACGATAAGTTTGGCTACTACGTCCAGTGGGTCAAGGACAGCGTTGGTCCTGCCCTCAGTGACTTTATGGATGTTGGATTTGGTAATGGAAACGCCTTCTTTGACCGCAGATGGATTGCAGGCGGCACGGGGTCTGCCACAGTTCCATGCTCTCAGATCAGATCACAAAACGGTGCCTCACAAAGTTGAGATCTTGAGTATACACTGACTGACTCTGACGGCTTTTACGCAGCGGTCGCAAGCCAGCTAGGCATTGAAAAAGATTGGATTGCATTTGGGGATTGGGAAGGGCCGACAGATTGCGTTATCGTGCAAGGGCCATTGCAAATCATTCCACAGGCAATTGGCCCTGGAGGAAACAGTGGAGGCAGCTCCTGCGTCAAAGTAACGCATCGGAAGACCAACGTTCCGATTGCGGCGTCTAACATTGTCGTTACAAACCCTAAGACAGTTATAGAGGCAGCTATGCCCAATATTACCGCTTTGACAACTGTAGCTATGGCACTTTATTTCGAGCTTACGCTCGGTGTCAGCGAGGCAAATGATTCCGATATCATTACAGCACTTAGTACACCAGTCTTCATGCTCCAAAATGCCGTCGACTCGATGAACAACATTAAAGAAATTGGTGCCGAAGTAGAAGAGGAGGACAAGAAGAATTTGATCCTCGAGATTTTGGGTATAGTCCTCATGGTAGTACCCATTATTGGCGAAGGTAGAGGGGCGCTGTTTGATGGGATTGCCAATGTTGCTAGAATTGCCACTTTGATTGGAGATATCGGAAATGTGGCTCTCACTGCGTACGATATTGTGGAGGACCCTTCATCTGCTCCTTTCGCAATCATGGGTCTTCTTCTCGGGGGTGTAAGAAAATCATACAAAAGTGATGAAGAGGTTTTAGGTGAAGCAGCCGCTGCACGAAGAGGTTTATCAGATGATGATTTGGCTCAATTTGGGGGCGCTTTTGTAAAGAGCGATTCTGATGTTCAAGGCATCCTTAAAGCTTGTATCGGCGGAGAGTAGTACGGATTGTGAGACATTGGACGTCAAGGAAAGATCTAGACCACATCTGTACAGTAGTAAGAAGATAGAATATAAATTACATGAATTAATATTAACTTGAGAAGCTACTGCCTATAGAGAGTACAGGAAATGTAAGATCACTACAATAGTAGTTGAAAAGAGATAATTCAGAGGGGAGTAAGACTACCTATCAATAAGAAACTTAAGACTAAAAGGTTCCTAACATCAACTGATATTAAGAATATACAATAGTATCACTGCGTTTCCTTCAGCGCAGTGTGAAGCTGAAATCAACCTAACTTTTTGAGAGATGAGCTTTATTATTTCTTCGTCGGTTTCGAGGAAACGTGTATTTATTCGCTATTATTGTGTTTGGGTGGTAGATATCAGGAGCTAGGTTCCATGGCTTGCTAGAATTCAGAAGGAAACATGTTATTTCCCAAGCATTACCACCAAATTCCAATTACAATATTACTGAAACATATATAGATATGTTATCAACCCTCCCATCCCCACTCAAACTCGAACCACACAACCAGCCGATTGGATTCCAATCCCAGCAAGCCTACAAAAGAAGCACCAGATAATTGCTCGTGATTGTATACACACTTTCACAAAGGACAACCCTATTTCAATATCACAATAATTCAATATCACAAAAACACAACAGCTGAACCAAAGTACACTATACAATAACAGCTAATCTCAACTCCACATCTGATTCAAACCGAGAGTTCTGATACTAAATGCAGTACTCCAACCTCACCCTCTTCTGAAATAATCACGATCTCGGAAAGGAAAGATGAAGAGAAAGATGGAATTGAATCCAAGATGACTATCACTTGAACAGTGCACAGTTTCGTCAGACACTGCCTGAAACCAATATCCAGAACTCCCATCGCGATAAATCAAGCAAACAACATCACAAACAATACCACAAACAAATCTCCTTACATAAGAAACGGCCACTTGATCGAGAAACTCAAGAGATAGAACGAAGCTGGTCACCTATTACACAAAATGGAAACAAAACGACTTTAGCCATGACGTGTTTTGTAGGTAAGAAATGCATAGATATGTAGACATGATCGTATATCAACTCCGTGTAATTACACAAATATTCATTCTCATACCCATCTGAGTTTCTCATCTCACCCCATCTCATAAAATCCCCTCAATCCAAATCCAATCATCTCCTATCCCACCCCATCCCCAATCCCACCTCCAAGAACCCCTTAAGTATGACCCACCAAACCCGCCTGAGGAGCATTATCCGGATTTGTATTCGCGCCCTCAAAGCCCAACGCCGTATTCCAGGCATTTGCCGTCGTCACATCCTTTGTGCCCAACGCGCTAATTTTCGTCTTCGCATCCGCACACGCAGTCTTCGCCGCCTCATTCGCATTACACACATTCGCCAACTGATCGCAGATGCGATTGGTGATGATATTAGGATTAAGTGCTTCTTGCTGGCCTTTGTTGACTAAGGGATCGATGGCTTGGAATGTGAATTCGGTGTCTTTGCGACCGTCGAGACCGGCTTCGAATTTGATGGTGGGGACGCAGAGACCAAAGTCAAGACCGGCGATGGAGGAGGCTTGGGAGCTTGAAGAAGTGGAGTTGGTTAAGGCGACAGAAGAGGAGGCAGCGGAAGTGGCAGCTGCCACAGCGGCGGACGTAGCGGCCATAGTGACAGTGACGAGAGTAGTACCTCCACAAGCAACCCCACTTGAAGAAACCGCAGCGACAGCAGCCACAGCCAAACTCGAAATACCCGAAGAAGCAGCACTAGCAGTGGAATTCGAAGTCGACACACTTCCACCCGCAGCGGAAGATCCAGATGGAGTTCCCTTATTTCCCGCGGCATCGGTAGTTGTAAAATTTGAGAATCCCTGTGCAACCATTACATCCGCAACACTAAGACCATCTGCTGCAAATGGCGTTGTGGTACTCGTTGCACTATTTGCATTTTCTGTTGTGCTTCCTCCTACAGCTGGATCGATCAAAGGAACGACACCGCGAAGAGCAGCAGTAGTAGGCAAAGTTGGGTCAGAACAGATATTTGGAACGGAAACGACAAAAGGGTTAAAATTTTGTTCGGCAGCTACGAGACCGCGCGCTGCGGAAATCACAGCGGGGTCGTTGCCAAGCTGTGCGACGATGGCGTCGGCTTGGGTGAGTTTTCCGCAGGGGTTGGCAGCCGCGAGGAGGAATTGAATAGAGCCCCCTCCGAGGCTTGCGGCTGCACCTGAGGCTCCGAAATCACTGAGAGCTGTAATGGCAGCAATTGCGCCATTTCCTTGTTCTTGACCGAAACTAAGATTGCAAAGTTAGGATACGTGCACAACTTGAGCACTTGTAGATAGGAAGACATACCGAGCTTCGGCCAAAGCAACTAGCAAAGAACTGAGGATGGTCTTTGAAAACATGTTGATTTGATTGGGTTTGATATCGATGTGATAGGTATTGGATTTGAAGAAAAGTAGTATAAAAGTTGACTGTTTAAAAACTAAAAGATTGGACCGGCCTAATGTGAAGGATGTATTTAATGAAAGTTTAGATAATATTATAGCAAAGAACGCAGTAGTTCACAGAACTAAATGAATGAAAAGATAGTTAAACTGTAGATTGAGAGGAAGATTGAATAGATGATGAAGAAAAAGAAAATTATCGAAGGAGAAACATCTTGTACTTATACGTGACGAGAATGAGAGTTGACTCCAAGAGACGATCAATCAATTTCCTGGGGATTGATACAGACTTTGCATGCTGGTAGAAGATCATACTATGCGGCGGTTAAGTTTACTGCTTGAACAATGTCCATACCGTTGAAGCTAGTAAGGAGACCCAGGAGATAGGACGAAAATGCTAGGGCTGATACAAACTTCAGATGACAGAACCTAGCTGACATCATTGACTTGAACTTAAAATTGTGAGAAACCCTAGTCTTTTTGACCTCACTCAATTTTTGCGAGATTGGTTACCACCCTTTGTATCAAGGAACCGAACGATATATCATTTCTGAATCATTTCAGACATCAGATGAAGCCACTTCAAGTCTCACTTTTCACCATCTCAAACGTCTTGTGCCTCTGCCATAAGCTTACCAAAGAATGTAACCGTACCCCTTGTCAGACCCCTTGTCGGAACATTTCGGGTGGGTCATTAATTTGGCAGTTCTGCAAAACATACGGTCCACTCAATGAAATCTGGGGAAACAAGCTACCAGATAGATCGTAAGCTAAAGTGTTTTAAATTAAAATTGATCGAAAATTTCCGAAACCCCTGTATTCCGAAACCCTTGTATTCCGAGATCGCTTATCTTATTTTAGTCTCCGTCTGAAGCCAAGGCTTGAGACGAAGTTGAGACAAGGGGGGTTTGAGCAGGGATCTAGCGCGGTCTAGCGCGGTCGGAACATCTCCACGACATCTTCGGTATGGATTCATGGGTCTGGAACATCAATACCGATTTCATCACAGCACTACTCTGATGAATGAATAGTAAGGATTCAAAGAATGTTTTGGTAAGCTTCCTCTGCATATTCTTAGACGTGTTGCCAAGATGAGCTCTCGCCCAATCAAAATTTTGCGAGTGAATCGTAATAAAAACAGGAGAGGGATTTCTGTATGTTGGCAAGAATAGTCGTGATGTGACATTCCCATCTTTAATTTTAGTTATCCAATCTTCAATTCAATCGCATGACATTATGCGATATAATATTCATCGGATCTTGCAAATCATAATAATCCAATTAATTATGCGTTCTTCTTTTGATCCTCGCCGGCATCCCATCAGATGGTTTAGCACTTGCAATTAACTCTTGATAAGCACGATCTCCTAATATTTTGTTAGCATCACTGATATCAATCTGGTCTTGCAGAAGAAACCCTCTCACCGAACATCCCACGTGTACCATTGAGAATACCACCAGGTTCCTTCCTACCAAGTTTTCGATCCCAAGTCTCGTAATCGGACTTGATGTCGAATTCTCTCAAAGTCATAGCCATAACAATCTTCATTTCAAGAAGAGCAAGTTCTTGTCCAATACAATCTCGGGATCCCCTTTCAAATGGTCGCCAAGCATTCTTTGGAATTTCTTGAAAGTTGTCTGGTGCAGGCATGAATCGTTCAGGAATGAATTCGTAAGGGGAGGGGAAAAGATCCTCTCGGTGATGTATGGTGTGAACACATACCATTACCATGAAATCCTTAGTGGGGTATTGTCGGCCTTCATATTCAAGAACGAGATCATCTCCATGTCGTGCTGTATCTGCAGGTGGGTACCTCCGAAGAGTTTCCTTAATGCAACTATATACGTATGGTAACTGATTTACTATACTCGGGTTTTCCTTGATCATATCTCCAGTTCTTGAGGTGTCCTTTCCAAATACCCTATCCAATTCATCTCGCGCTTTGGCTAAACATTTAGGATTTTTACCTAGCAGATGATATGTGTAGGCAATAGTACTCGAAGTAGTGTCGTGACCAGCGAATAGAAACGTTTTCATTTGATCAATTGATACTTGCTTGAAAGTTTGATCCAATCCTCGATCACCCAATGCGATATTGTCCTCCTCTTGTTGGAGAATATATTCGTCGAGAGCAGTATCAATAACAGGCTTTTTCTTACCTTTCGTGGCACTCCCTTCCTTCTCTGCGAATCGAGTATCCAAGACTTTGTTAAGATAGCCGTCCATTTTCCATTCATAATACTTTCGCATAATCGGACCTAATGGGTTTAGATTTACCAATGGATTTGTCGCAACAATTTTTGGTGTCCAAGAAATAGAATTTCGAAAATATTCGACCAGTTCACTCTTCATGGTTTGAGAGTTTAAACTAATATCCAAAACAACATGACCCATTATATCAATAGTCAAAAATGCAGCCGCTTCTTCAATTGGACAGACCTCTCCCGAGTCGGCAAGTTTACCCAAGACATCGCGAAAAATTTCCACTTCATCGACAAGACTGGGCATGAGTGTTGTTAGATGAGCAAGAGCAAACCCTTGATTGAACAATGCCCGGTTCTTCTTCCATTCCAAACCTTCCGTAAGTAGAATACTTCTCTTCCCCGTGATATGGCCAACATATTGCCCAGTGACAACTGATTTTGGCAGTGAGTGATTCTGCGTGCATTGTGCAGCGAGATTCTTTCCAACGTCAGTTATGTTACGATACCTATTGGTGCTTTCTTATAAAGTATGATGGAAGAAATAAACATACCGGGTCACAAATAATGATTTGTCTCCAACGAAAGAATGGCCAATTGTCCAGGATAAACATGTCCTTTAAGTTATATTTGTCGTATATCATGGTCATAATACCGTGAGGATGTGCAGTCATTGGTGCATGAGCATATTGATCGCCCATCGATTTCAATGTGCCCAGTAAAGTACTGAAAGGCGGACAAGGTATCCCAGATGCCTATCGAGTTGATCAGCTCGTGCAAAATTGGAGGAGAGACTGTTATTTACATATTCCTTGTACGATTTTCTATATTGAATGAATCTTACTACCCAGGCTGTGATCGTTATTGCGAGAATCGTGGCAATAAGCGCCACGACCTTATTGGGAAGCCATATATTGCCAATGAGACCAGAGCTGTTCCCAAGAGATAACATTGTTTGGTTTCCCATGTTGAAAATCCAGTGAAATGTTGAAGCAGAAGAATGTCGCGTATGCTACGCGTTGGAGCTGTGAAACTCGTGAAATGTTGACAATTACAATTACCTTGATGGGTAACCCATTGTGCTCCTTCGAATTGATACAAAGTTAGCGATCCAATATAAAGTTATATACTCGAGAAGAAGCTCGATAATTGATACTTCACCAACCGCCTTCTCAACAATCACAGTGAATGTAATAAAACGCGTACGAATTCCATGTTTTAAAATAACATTCGATAAAGTTGTTTGAACAACAATGCCGGAAATTAATCCAGCAAATCAACCGAAGTTTAACCACATTCCTTTTGGGTTACATAAGCGAACTCGAAATACGACCAAGTCATTCTCCTAATGAATTGAACTCCCAAGTACACTCAATTGTATCTCTAGATTTTATGAGAGACGGTACCAACAAGGTACATAACATCATAGTGAATATCTCAATTCACCTGGACACCCTTCTCTCTGACTTTCAAAGATCTCATCAACAAGGAGGAACGTCTTTCCGGGAGATTAACCCTTAGACAACAGAATTTGGATGGATGTCTGACTTGTAAAAGAATCAAGGAGCGAAGATAGAAAACCCGAAGTTGTTCATAGTTCGAGGGCATAAATTCACGATATCTTGCATTTAAATATCGCAGAACGCGAGATGCTATATATTGGACAGGAGATCCATTTAGTAGGAGAATGTAATTTCCTATTCGAAAGTGTATCCGTGAGAATTCAAGATATATTTCTACAAATGGTATATACTCGTCTCTACTGATCATCTGAACCTCGCTGTCTATCGCTATAATACAAGAAGTGGAAAATGTCTATAAACAAAATCAGAAATACATGAACCAACGCATATGTTTCCTCAAGCAGTCTTCCATCCTAACAGTGCTCCCAGCTTTGCTACATGTTTCATGAATCCCCTCGTGGGAGCATAAGCTCTTCTCCATCTATAAAATGCCAATAATCCCCCAATTACGATTGGTGAAGTCAATACACTCACCAAACCCACTATGATCAATTTGCCCTGTTTCTGGCTCTTCTTTACAATCTCGGAATATCGCTCGTTGCTAAAACTAACACGAGAGTACTTGGTTTGCCATCCAAGACGAGGTACGTATACACTCAATGTTTCCTCTAACCATTTGCGGAATTTGTAGACCGGTGAGATGACGGCTGCGCGCATTTCAAAGTAGTTTTCGAAGGCTAGATCGTTGATAGCGTGTGCATCGGCTTTACGGATTTCGGAGTAAACGCTCAAAGCAACAGAACGACAGGCTTCGGTGCTAAGAAGGGGGAAATTGTGCCTCTCATCATCGAGAACAGAATAAAGAACACGGACATCTTCCAGACCCGCGTTCATTCCTTGTCCGTAAAATGGAACCATGGCGTGAGCGGCATCACCGAGGATGACTACTGAATCTTGGAAATGGTAGGGTTTGCATTTTATGCTTATGAGTGGAAGATGTGGGTTATTTTTGAATGATGATATCAGAGAAGCATGGTCGATTAGTTTTGTGACACCTGGGAAATGCTCGTCGAAGAAAGCTGGGACACCTTTAGGGTCGGTTTCGAGCTCATTGAACGGTTTCGATGGCATGAAGAGAGTGCAAGTGAATGAGCCATCCTAATTTACGTAAGAATATAATCGAGAGAAAAGAGCAGAACGGGGCCTACATACCGTGCTAGGGATTGCGATGAACATAAAATCTTTACCGGGCCAGATATGTAAGTGATGTGGAGATATTTTAAAACGAGATGCTGGATCCTCCCCAATCTGCTTTTGAGCATCTATTGTGAACTCACACCACAAAGTGTCGATATACTCTTGCTGATAATCCATTCGGAGATATTTCATTAAGTGATAGCGTGTAGCCGAATGAGCCCCGTCAGCTCCAATGAGAAAATCAAAATCTACTTCCACTTCCTGGTCTCTAATTTCGACGGACCACTGAAGTGATTTTCCACCATGGACTTCAAACCACGCCTTTTTGTTTTTGAAATCAGCTCCGGTTAGTTTGTGATTGAACTTGAACTTGACATTAGGAAGAGACTCCAGCTCATCGAGTAATCTTTTGTTTAGATCTCCTCTGTCCACGGCATATATTGACTAGGAATCGCATTGTTAATGAGGTTACTACTGTGGTCATAGATATTCATACTCTTCCATGGATATCATAGTCTTGTGACTGTTCGTAGAGCTCCTTATTAGCCGTTTCGCCGTGAATCATCCTACCTCCCATCGGTATCGCCTCTTTCATGATACTATCAAGAAGTGCTGTACGCCCAGATTGTCTTATGGCATTAATTCCCCGCTCTGATAAAGCGAGATTGATAGATTTTGTGAAATTGAGAGGCGTTGTGGAAGGATCTCGAAGATCTAGGACTTTGTTAATGGGGGAGATTATAGGATTGACTCATAAATTCACAAGCCAATGTAGCAATGATGAAAGGATTCTGTTCTCCTGTGATGCGCACATCTAGAGAGAACTGGAGAGGGATACAATGTGCCGAATTGAACTTGATCTAGCCTTCCGCAATGCCACCAACATGAAAGTTTCTCCCTGGAATATTTGTGGCGATACCCTCACATGACTCATCTACATGAAGGAAAAAGAATTCCAAAATGAAAAGTCTCTGTGGCGGATCGAGAGTGAACTTTCACTGGGTGTGTTTTATATCATATACAGACTGTCTCTAACTTTTCTTGGGTAGTTCCTGTGCATTGCAAACTATTCAGGCAAAAAAATGATAGAATCAAAACGTACCACTTCGGAGTTCATATATTTCTACATCATCCCCTCGTTGAGCTGCGTATAGAGCTGCTAAAGCTCCGACTGGACCAGCTCCAATAATAACGGTCTTCTGTCCAGACATCTTCGATTAAATTGTCGACTCAAAATGATTGAGGCAAATTTTTGAGAAGTCTATTTATGACATCTTGAAAATATATAGTACTCCGGTCCGGTGATTTTATCATTAGTGAAGGGTCTATCTGGTATGACTTTATAAATTTTAGAAATCATTTCACTAAATTCACCCCTCATTTCACGTGATCGTATGATTTTATGAAATGTTGTGAACGCTTAGCTGAAACAAGACACCGCCTTAGCACAAATTGACTATTTGATTGGCTACTTGTCTTTACGCCCTTTCTAGAACACTTTTTGGGAACACGGCTGACAGAAATTTACCAGAGATTTCGCCTTGTCCTACTCGTACAACGCACTAGGTTATAACAAAGCTGTTTAACCATCAAGGTCTCTCGGAAAGTTTGTATATTCCCATATTATAAATTTGTTGCAGATCTCCTTCACCATGGCATCAGAAGACTCGGCATCGCCCAGAAAATGCATAGGCGTTGATTGCGAGAATGAAGCTGGCTCGTTACAATGTCCAACATGTTTAAAGCTTGGCACGAAAGATAGCTTTTTCTGTTCGCAAGATTGTTTTAAGAAGAGTTGGGTATGTACACTTCAATCCTATCTAATCCATCATCCAAAGCATTTCGAACCTCTCAGGAAATTGGCAGGGCATCAGGTGTCGTCCACTTTGACTGCCCCTCTGAGGAAGTTTTGGAGGGGTCAATTGTTCAATTCGGCGCAATGCTAACAACGATCACAGAGTGAACATAAGAAAGTCCACAAGTCACAGAGTAATTTCCTCAGTAATATCTTTACCCCAAAAGTTGTTTCTAAACCCGATCCAGCTACCGGACTATTCAATCCATTTCCTACCTTTCCATTTACCGGATCGTTACGACCTGTTTACCCATTATCCGACCATCGAGAAGTACCGAAAACTATTCAGCACCCCGATTACTGGAGAGATGGCGTTCCACGCAGCGAAAGGACTAGTCAAAGAAACAAAATTGAGATTTTGAACAAGGAACAGCAGGAAGGCATGAGAAAGGTTTGTCGATTGGGTAGAGAAGTTTTGGATATCGCAGCCGCAGCCGCTAAACCTGGAGTTACTACCGACTACATCGACGAGATCGTACACAAAGCTTGCTTGGAGAGAAACGTGAGTACCTTGTCGCGAGGGAAATTAAATTTACTGATCAGCCTAGTCGTATCCTTCTCCTCTCAACTACTGCGATTTCCCAAAGTCCGTCTGCACATCCGTCAACGAAGTCATTTGCCATGGTATTCCAGATAGGCGGGTTTTGAAAGATGGTGATATTCTGAATATCGACGTTACACTCTACCACGGAGGCTTCCACGGCGATCTCAACGAAACATATTATATTGGTGATAAAGCAAAGGCGGACCCTGACACAGTGCGAGTGGTGGAAGCTGCACGAGAATGTTTGGATCTAGCCATCAAAATCGTTAAGCCTGGAGTACTATTCAGAGATTTTGGAAATGTTATAGAAAAGCGCGCCAAGGAGTCGAATTGTAGCGTCATCAAGGCATATTGTGGTCATGGAATCAACAGCTTGTTTCATTGCGCACCAAATATTCCTCATTATGCGAAGAATAAGGCTGTGGGTGCAGCAAAACCTGGAATGTGCTTCACAATCGAGCCCATGATTGCATTAGGAACACACAAGGATAAGACTTGGCCAGATAACTGGACCAGTGTCACTCAAGATGGAAAGAAAACTGCCCAATTTGGTATGTAATTTTGGACTTCATTGACTGTGATCATTTACTAACATCCTACAGAGCATACTCTTTTGATCACAGATGATGGTTGTGAGATATTGACAGGAAGACTACCTGACTCTCCTGGTGGACCCATACCAATGCCAGTCGTTGCCGAGGAGACTAATGGGGAGACGAAGGAAGTGGCAGCTTGAGGAATAATTAGTATAGATAGATTATAGCCAAGCCAATAGCCACCAGGGCCATATCGAGGGTAATGAGGGGAGGGGGGTAAATTGTGTGACCCCGTGAATCCCATGTGAATAGGAAATGGCATTTCCAGGCTCGAACCACAAATCACCCCCAAAATATGATGGCCTCTAAAGACTAATAAATAAGGAGGTGATTTAGAAGTAAATATGAATATAACTTCTTCAATACAATATTTAAATCAAAGCCTCCACAGTACGGCTCTTAAGTTTTACTCGAGTGTAGGTATCTGTATCACCTTTACCTACCTACCTACCGATCGTTCATGCCCCTGACAAATATGCACAATTTATACATGCATAAGCGAATGAAATATCACCTACTATTATCCTATCAGAAGGAAACAAATCCTTGATCTTGATCTATCAACACAATACTAACAAACTTTCCAAGTCTCCAAAAGCTTCGTCATTCGCCGCTTGTAGATCATCATCCGAATCTTTCCCACTTACCATAAACTTCCAGGAAAAGCAAACCACTGTGGTACTGCATAAAAAATAATTCTGCCAACATCATCTAGATTCATCTCTCACCAAGGTGCAATCAACACGGTGCCGATTTTGGAGCATTTCCCCACCTTTAGAGCTTAAACTTGAACTACCCATACTCAAAAAAATCCCTTCAGAGAACAGACAACGAACAACACGCACGCAACCATCCGAGCTCCTAGAAGCAACATCTTGCCTCGAATATATATTCGGAGACCGTCATCGCAGATATTGCAACTTGAGAAACTACACAAAAGGCTTTTTAATCGCGTATTCGACGCGATTCACATAGGTTGCCCAAGATGATGTCAGGAGAGGCATGGTTGTACCTATTGGCGGTGCTTATCAATGCCGTCAATCTGTTCCTACAAGTATTCTTCACTATTATGTACAGTGATCTCGAGTGGTAAGTTTGATTTCACTTTGTCGCCTCTTCAATCCAGGGTTGCGGAGGGTTCGGAAAGGTGGACAGAATAATAGAGACTTGGCCTCTACCACATGCGATAAGCATGTATATCGATCCTTTGCTACTAGGAGGGAGCAGCTCAAGCTTCATCATACTACGAAATCATGCTAACATCGAATGGCACAGTGACTACATCAACCCTATCGATCTTTGCAACCGTTTGAACACGTACATTATTCCTGAAGCAGCGGTTCATGGGTTCTTGACCTTCTTATTCCTTATCAACGGGTACTGGGTTGCGCTCGTTCTCAATCTGCCACTTGTGGCATTCAATGTCAAGAAGTAGGTTCCCGCTGCAGTGTTAGAATATAAAGATTTGGGACATTCGCTAACAGATGAATAGGATTCTCGATAACGCACATCTTCTCGATGCAACTGAAATTTTCAGAAAGCTCAATGTCCACAAGAAAGTAAGTTGATACTGGTTCCATGTCTCATCATATTTTTAAGCTCTCACTAACGTCCCTCCCTCAATAGGAATCCTTCATCAAGCTCGGTTTCCATCTTGTCATGTTCTTCTTCTATCTCTACTCTATGATCGTTGCCTTGATCCGGGACGAGTCGCATTGACTTAAGAACAATATCGGCGACCGGTATAAAGTGGAGGCATAGGTACAGCTATAGGTTCTATGGTCAAGGGCAGAGCTTGCTCGACGAGACGGAACTAGAAGACTACGAAAAATGGGTGGCAGGTTTTATATGTGCCATGATCTCTACGATATGTTAACTACGAATGGTATGGCTGAATGAATGGATGAATGGTGGTAGTTTAGGTGTAATGGTAGTGCTCTTTCCATTGGTTTCGAGCCTGGCAGGAAAATGGGGAGAATTCTATAATGAGAGGACCTCGTCCAGAAGTTTCATGTGGATAGATACCTAACATGCTAAAAACGGCATGTTTTTTTTTTGATATGAATGAATCTTGTTATTTTGCGATTATCAAATATCAAAGATCTTGCTTTCATTAGCATTTTTGAAAACCATTCAGTGCCATAGAAGCGATAAATTTCAACCAATGATTGATTTCTCTTCCAATCGATAGAGCAAAGCTTGCGCCTTGTATCGCCTGCATGATCACGTGCTTATTTTTTCAGCCTCGTCGTTCTATCGCGAAAATAGTCTCGCGCCTTGTACCCAGGTTTAACTTTGTGAGACGAGAAAGACGACAATAATTACCTACAAATATTCACTCTCGATTCTGTTTCTCCCATCAATCCAAATCGAAGCTTTCAAAATGGCGGACTTTGGCGCATACCCGCCCAATATGGCACCTCAAAATGCCCTCATAGCTCGAAATGCAGAAGGCCCAGAACATGCCGTGGTTCAATACAGCGCTGATAATTTGGCCCGCGCAACACAGGGTCCTGCGAATCCTTTCAAAGACGAGAAAAATTCACTTAAGCGCAAAAATGTACTTACTGGACATGCAGAGGAGACCTATATTAGTGAACATACGTTTCGAGATCAATATCGAGCGGTGGAACGAAGAGGAAATCATCTTTCGGGTGCCGAAGCCAAGGAAGAAGCAGCTAGGATACGAAGTAAAAGACAGAAGAAGGGAGATTCAAGTATAGCGGAAGGTGATAACGCGTATGTTGGACCTTGGGCTAAATATAAAAGGGAAGAATATGAGGAAGTCAATGAAGATGAACCATTACGAAGCGATGAAGAATACGAGGAAATTGAAGAGGAGGAGGATGTAATAGAGAGTGGAACTGTTATTGCTGCACCGCCGCAAGCTTTAGCGAGACGACAAGAGGTTGAAGAATTGGGTGAGGAGACAACGACTTTCGAAGGAAGCGAACAATATGATTATCAGGGACGAACATACATGCATGTTCCGCTGGATCTGGATGTAGATCTGAAGAAGGAGGCTGGAAGTTACAAGAACTATGTACCGAAGAAGATGATACACACTTGGAAAGGACATACAAAACCTGTTGTTGGAATACGATTCTTCCCCGAATCTGGACATTTACTGCTCTCAGGAAGTGCCGATACGACAGTCAAAATTTGGGATGCTCATCATTCAAGAGAGCTATTACGAACATATTCAGGTCACACGAAAGCTTTAACAGATGTTGCGTTCAATGCAACCGGTACACAATTTATCTCTGGCTCCTACGACCGCATGATGAAATTATGGGACACGGAAACAGGTCAATGTATAAATCGGTTCACAACTGGCAAAACTCCTCACGTCATTCGCTTCAACCCCGATCCCGAACACAGCAATGAATTCCTTGCCGGTATGGCAGACAAGAAGATTGTACAATTCGATACCCGTACTCGCGAACTCGTACAAGAATATGATCACCATCTTGCAGCTGTCAATACTATCACATTTGTGGACGAAAACCGACGCTTCATCACTACATCTGATGATAAATCATTGCGCGCTTGGGATTACAACATTCCAGTCCCTATTAAATTTATTGCCGAGCCACACATGTACTCCATGACACGTGCTTCCCTACATCCGTCTAAAAAATGGGTAGCATATCAATCGTCTGATAATAATATCTTCGTATATGGAGCTACAGACAAGTTCCGTCAAAATCGAAAGAAAGTCTTCAAGGGACACAATAATGCGGGCTATGCTATTGATGTGGCCTGTAGTCCTGATGGACAATTCCTTGCTTCGGGTGATAGTGGTGGATATGTTTGTTTCTGGGATTGGAAACAATGCAAGATGTATCATAAGTTCCAGGCGAGTAAAGAGGCTGTTACTTGTGTGGAGTGGAGTCCTCAAGAGAGCTCGAAGGTCGCTACGGCGGGGTTGGATGGCGCAATTAGGTATTGGGATTAGATGGAGCTTTTATGAAAAGGGGAGAAGGGGAGGAGAGAATGTATGTATGATAGATATATTCCAATCGAGGTCCAAAGAGAATTGGAAATCAATCCATGATGTAATTCTAATATTGAGGAAGTCATTACACTTTTGCATCAAGTGGAATCTCTTTCTAGAATTATGTGTATTCGCGTGATTTCAACTTACGCTAGAAGTATTTGAAGTGTCAGATCTCTTGCTGCAATGGGTGGGAACTTTGGCATAAGCCCAATGAAGTGTCGTCTAGTTGCCAGTCATCCGGTGAAAAGTTTGTCCTGCGACATAAAGTCTCTGAGAAGGCAGACTACCTGTTGCAGAATCTACTATATAGGCAACCAACTGCTTGATTCAAGCCCAAGTCATATACCCGTCTTGATTCATCATTTATGATATCCTATATGACCCTTGTTTCTCTATGTATACCTCTATAATTTCTGGGTTGTTTACATTCGCATTTATCCTCACATTCAATATTCATATCCACGCGACAAACTTTCTCTTCCCAAATCTAGGCCTCTTTCTATCATCATCATATCTCGTCCCATGCTATCTAACACTACAGTGACTATCACAGCCCATACTATCCGAATTTATCACGAGGTCACTATCTTACATTCACCAGAATGACCACACATCACCCCAACCTCGCTTCATTACCCCGCCCCTGTCTTCCATTCTCTTGGATTTTAATTTTGAGAGTCCTGCGTTACTAGCTGTACATGCCATTGATTTTTGAAGCGTAGGAAGAACCACTCCGTTGGGGTAGGTTGTGTCGATCTTTTTTGGGAGGTGGTTAGTTGAGACTTTTGTTACATGAGATGAGAGGGAGATGGAACATCCCTTTTGAGAGGAATGAAAAATGGAAGACAAACATAAGTCGAGCTCCACGTACAACACCCCGCACCGATCAGAGTTCCATTGACTGGATTTGTACATCCCCATTCATTTGCGGTTTGGGTGGTTGGCATACCGGTCCATGGTACGTTGGATCCGAGTAAGGTTGCGTTTGTGCCTGGGTTTCTGGTTAGGCTGGGTTTGTGGAGGTGGCGAGGCACTGAGAAAATAGTGTGGAGAATGAGAAGCGGAGGGATGAGGGTGGTCGAGGGTGAGAGTTGGAACAGAAGAGCATTGGATCACATACAAGAACCATAACCGCCATATTCATCAACAGCACAACAACCTCCGAAATAATCACTCAAGCATGTTGTAGTAAGTGTAGATCGTATTTGGTTATTATCTCTTGAGGATGGGGAGTAGTAGAGAGGAGATGCGGATGTGGGGAGGATGAAATTGATGAGGACGAGGAGAAGACATGGGGAATTTTGATAATGCATTCTTTTTGCTTGCGTGTTGTTCTTGAGCAAGGAGATTCTTCGTAATTTGCGCGTGTGGGTTTCGCGTGGGTGTAGATAGATAATGGCCACTCGCGATGGCGAATTCAGAATCTCAACAGCAATGGAGAATATAATCTTTAGATCATCACTATAACATTCACATTAGAGAAAAATCACCAGAACAAACCAAATTTCCAAGAATCAACAAGCCGGGAACTATCCCTTAAATCCTCAAACACATCCATATCGTCGCATTCATCCGCTTCATCCAACATATCTCTCGCCAATTCACCCTTTTACTCATCACCACACTGTACTTCACCACACAGATTATCCCGGCCAAATTCCCACAATTCCGAAATCCGGGGTAAACAGGGATTTACGGAAGAGCTTGCCGAAAATGGGTGATCGGAATCATGGTGTGTGGGAAAGGATAAATGGGTAAATTGTTTAGCGAGGTCATGAGGTTTTTGCTGACGGAGAATTTGTTTATTGGGGGAGTTTGGGTTTGGATCTTGGATTCTGGGTTCTGGGCTTTGGAATATGGACTGCGGCTTCGGATGAGGTATTCGTGGGATTTGTAATGAGGTTGGAAAAGTATGGAAAGAAGGGGAAATAAATTGGGGTTGTTTGGTGGGTATTGTTGTTGGATTGTTTTTCTTCTGTCGTTGGTCGTTTGGGGAAGCGGAGGCGAGAGCTTGTTGGAATATATGGATGTCGAGGGATGAATGAGAGGATGAAGAGATTCGAAATCACGTAAAGAATCCACAGAATATGAGGTGCGATGTAAAGAATAATATTGTGTTCTATTTGGCCAGAAGATTAGATATGAATGCTTGGCAATGTGATAACCTTGTTATTCGATTCTTCCATGAAGAGCGATTGGATCTATGACGGTCTCTGATAGGTAAGAGTGTGTTTGTTCCTGCTATATGTCATGGATATCTCCATAGTAATTGATGCATTGTATCTTTCCTGGTGGCTTTTCCTGCTTGGTGATGACTGGACCCGAGATAAAATGACTGAAGTGCTGACTCCTTTTATCTCTTTGGGATGATATACTAATGCGATGGTAGATAGTGCTACGTAATGCGAAAGAAGAGCTGCGGGATTAGTGTATTGAAGTGAGATTAATTAGCTACTCAACGTAAAATCTGAACTCTTGAGAAATAGCATGATTCCGAGGTGATCATTGAATAGGTATTCAATACATACTGACGGACGGTTCGCTGCTGGCCCCAAAACCACTACCATGAGAGTTGTTTGGACAGTAGCCTAGCACGCACAACGAGCAACGAGGATGAGAAGCCCACCTCCTTCCATAGACATAGACTATAAAGATAGTAAACAACGAGCATTGTGCGGAATATCTTCGAGCGCAGCGAGCTATGGGGGTTTGGGGGCTT